ACACAAGTGAAATATTCTGAAAATGCGCACAAAGACTAACCTCCAGTTTGTGAGGACTCAAAGTCCAGAGCACACAGTCCTGCTTTTTTCTTTCTTCAAGGGAAGGCAGCAGCCTTGCTGTTTCCACAGAAGTGCTTCAGAAAGCTGGCTCTTCTCCACAAACCTGACACATACTCTCAGTCACTGAGCTGCACTGCAACTCACAGCAGTGGGACCTAGTCAGAAAATCAGAGAAAAATACATTTCAAATGAGAAACATTGTGTACCCACCTCCTTTCTCCTCAGCACAGTCCTGACGGCCAAATTACTGCAGACAACCTGAATTTGTCTCTGTTCTCTCAGGTCCCCCATTCAGCCACATGCTCTGGCTCAGCTGTACTGCACCTCCTGGGAGCTCAGGCAGCAAGTCTGAACGCACAGCCTCTTAAACACAGCGTCTGCCACACACCTACTTCAGAAGAGTTTTCTGCACACTTTGCTGACCAAACGTTTCTGAAAGAAAAGCGAACCCCTGGAACCCCTCTAGCTTGACCTTGTTGAATTAGGAATATTTGAACCACAAACTCCTAATTTTCTCTTTGTTTCAAGACTAAAAGATTGAGTTACTTTAGCCTTTCAGAGCAGGGATGCTCCAGAATGTGTCTGGTGCTCTTCTTTAACCTGATTCTTCTTTTAGAAACTCACTCGAAGTTGCATGGAAGGGCACTCTGGAGTTGACAGCAATCAGTCCACAAAAGAACAGCCAACAGTATCAGCAAGGCTAAATGCGACCATGGGTGCTTTAATGATGTGTTAGAGCAATGGTCACATGAGAAAGAGCAGAGGCTAATTAGGAACTCTGAAACCTTTCCTGGCATTAAATATTTCACTCCCTATACTGAGGCACTCCAAGACAGGCTACACATGTCAGATTCAAAATGTGGTCAGAGCAGTTCTGGTGGCTTGTAAAGAGGTTTGTGTTGTGTTTTATTGTGACTCTGGGAAAACAAATTAATCAGGCCAAAAAGGCTAAAATTGTTTCTAGAAACCCTGCACCTAAACACCTCAACTAACGTTTCTAACAAAGAGTGTGCTGTATTTGTAAAAAATATCATTTGTTTCTGGTCATTGTTATCAATTAGTTCTATTTCTGTTTCGTAGCAATTGATCATAAATTAAAGCTTCTGAGAACATTACCATATTCTTCTTGAACTGTAACAAAAAAAAGACTCCAGAGATACTGGGTTGCAGATATCAATTTTCTTTGAGCTACGTAATATTCTTCTGTTAGGAGTGCATTATGAGCCTGACAGCTTCAATGCAAATGTAACTAACATACTGCACAGCTGGAATTCTTACACACCTAGGAACATCAGCACATCTGGAAAAATGGACAAAAAAGGCAAGGCTATAAAATTCTAACTTTTGTTTTTACTCAATACAACTGTCTTGAATAGGGTAAGTTCCAATACATGCACGTATAACAGAAATGTTACAATTTAATGATAAAGAAAATACCCGTAAAATAAAATTCCATTAAAGCTTTCTTTTAGATGTTGTAAAGAAGAGAAAACAGCAGCACGGATATTACACATCAGACAGCTTGGGATAAGAAGAGTAGGGCAACATACACTATAAAAAGGTATAGCGTTTTTTTGCATATTATAAAAATAGTAAAGGATTCTGAACTAGCAGGACCAGATCCAGCTGTCTGGATCCATGTATGAGGTTACGATGAGAGATTTACGGCTATGTTCAGTGTCATCAGCCAACAATGACACAGTGCACTGTGAGGTCTCTAAAGGGTGGATTTGGCAGTGCATTATTTTAATTATGTTACCAAAACACAGATTCCATAGAAACACATTGTCTGGATACACATTGGTTGGTTTTGGAATCGTATTTCCATTCAAGTCATCTCATTCATCTCAACTCACAAAGCTGAAAAGCCCAGAAAATATTTTTTGCCACAATATGAAAAAAAACCTAGAATGCACTATATGGGAATAACAAAAAGATGGAATTTTTTTTTTAATATGAACTTGTTCATAATCCTTGTTTTGCTGTAGAAAGGGTGTAACAGTGGTTTAACATGTTTGGCCTATAATTCTACATTTTCTAGCCAGCTGAGACAGAGATGATTTGCATAAGGTTCATTCATGTTGCCAGTGAAATTCACAACCAGAGCACAAAAAGCAGGGAAAATTCCCAGAATATAAAGATATGCAAATTCATGGATGTCTTATTAAAAAGACAAAGACAGCTGTTCTTGAAGTAGGACCAGACATTTATGGTGCCAGTTTCTCTCTTCCACCTAGAGTAGAGAGAGGTAGAGAGATGCAGACTCCTTTTGATTACAAGAGCTTTATCTCTTGGGGGGCAGTGCTTATGGTTCTGAAGCTGCAAATGGAGGGTTGTGGGTTCAAATCCAAGGTAAGGCACCGCAGTTATTCTCTTGAGAAAGGATCCAGATTTATTACACCGAAATACCCTTCTATATACTGTAAATGTGTACCAATGTAAGCTGCTTTAGATAAAGCTTCATAAAGTAAGCAACAGCTCACAAATCAATAATTTCTACCACATTAGGTCACTTTCTCATAGTTCCCAGTGTAGCAGAAGATTCTTCTTGCCCTTGAGCTTGCTTCAATCTTTTTATAAAGTTTTCTGGGTTCCTTCTGGGGCCTGAAACAGCAATGCAATGAGAAAAGATACTACCTAGAGACACAGACATCATTGAAGCAAGGAAATCTTCAAATAGCGTTTACAGATTCCAAGCACCGACAAATGAAAAAAAATGACAGCATGTCAGGATGTGGTCTTTGTTCAAAGAACAGGCTGTGGCTTTAGTGGCCGATGAGATGGTATTCTCCTTGCTGAACCCTGCAGCACAGCCTGACACAGCGGGGTCTTTCCTGTGGGCCGAACTCTCTTCAGCAACTTCTTACCGCATCTCATAGTGTCAGAGAGTTTATGCTATTCTCAGAAAAAAAAAGGAAAAATAGTACATATAAACGTAAAGTATGCCCCTCAATATCGTTCTAGCTGGTGAGACGAGAGACCATCGTCGGCAAATGATAACCCTATAGAACTTTAGTCTATCATGTTAAAAGAAGTGTAAAGTTCAGCAGCTGGGAAAAGTTACATTTAAAGCACAATTCATTACAGTTAGGTACTCATTTATGTAATAAATCTTTACAACAAGGTACCTGTCTAAAGGATCAGTTTAAGTCAGAAGAAACTACTTTTAAGAGGTAATGTACTACATGACATTGTAACTTGTCACACACACTATATAAATCACTGTAACCGGATGTTGGGAGAAAGTGTTAAGCCATCACTTAATCTTAAAAAGCAAATCCCTTACACAGCAGACTTGTACCTTTCATAGAATAGTTTTTAAGAAGAGCATTTCCCAACACTGATAATGAAGCAAAGACCCCCTTGCTGTCTTTATACAGTTGAGTTCTATCAGATTGTTTTAAACCTGGCAGTTGGGTGTCACAATAACCCACCACACAGAGGACAGCAGCTGTTTCTGAAGTGAAGGCCAGACACTACACTGGACCAACTTTTTAGAATTCACATTTATACCATTCTGCTGGCTAACGGTCGTGCGATTTCAATGTCCGCTTTCTTTAGAACTCATGCCATTTTATTTTAGTCCTGCCTTAAGTCTCAGAGATACAGTACTTCTCAAAAGATTTATCTTAAAATGCATTTCACGAATTACCTTTGCATTAACGCTAAATTCCATACAGCAGATAGGACAAAAACTTCCATATATGTCAGCAGGAATGATGGTGCAGAGAGAATCATCATTTATTGTCTGTAAATGGATTACTACAAGTATACACTGAAAAAGAATGAAAGACGCTTCATTACTGTTACATGGTCGTTTAAGATGAAACTGCTAAAACGTTATAAAAAAAAGACTTAAAAGTTATGGTAAAAATTTGGTCAAGACTTAAGTTGTACCATATCACGGAACACAGGATTAAGTAATTCTTAGTGGGGTTTTCCTAAATTCAAAACCACTTCCGTTCATCTTTAAGTGAACAGTAAAACTGTATTCAACGTCTTAAAGAGAAATTGATGATAAGCTGCCACCTACTGGTAAGCAGATGTAAAGCTTGTTAAATTCCTCCTGAAGAGAAGGGGTGGTGAAGGGCTGGCCTAAGTCCCTTTTATCATTTTTTTTCGTTTGCCAATACAATGTCTATGTGGCTGTTTTAGAGCCCAACAGATATGTCAGGCCTTACAATACTCCTGCCTAAAACCCATCAACAGCACACTGCACCCAGGTGACACAGTGGTGCAGTGGTCATCAGGCAGCCTCAATGCCCTGGGGCTCTAGGTTCAATTCCGGACCTGGGAGCTATCTACTTAAGTTTGTACGCTCTCCCTGTGTTTGTGTGAATTTCCTTGCACAGTCCAAAGACCTACTGGTTAATCTGGGAAAACTGGCCCTGGTGCGTGTCAGCGTGGGCCCTGTGAGGGACTGGTGTACCCTGCCTTGCACCAGTTGCTTGCCAAGATAGGCTCCACTCCCTCACGACCCTGAATTGGACGAAGTGGTTAGAAGATGGATGGATGGATATACTGTGGCATGAAAGCGATTTGTGAACTATCAGAGCCCAGGGATCAAGGCAGAAGAACACCCCGGCTGGGATAGGCATGCACACAAGGACACTTTTAGAGAGATCCGTTAACCTGTCCAGCATGTGTCTGGAAAGTGGGAAGAAACTGGAGCCCCTAGGAAAACCACCTTTGAACACAGTGAGGAAATGCAAACCCCACACACAAGGCAAGTTAGCTCAAACTGGAAGAGCTAACAATCACATTGTTTAATTATGCACATCTGTACATGTTCTGTATCAAATTCACTTACTTGAACTCAAAAGATGTTGGCTAAACATCTTCAACAGCTGGGTTAAAAAATCAAATTGGAAGCATTATTACTCCTTCCATATTGACTGTTACACATGAAAAAGTTTAGAGTGGGAAAAAAAATACCAACATCAGGTTTCCATATGAAACTTTTATTGCTGACATGCATGTAGAGGTTTGATGAAGTACAAAAATATGTCTTTTATACAAATTTGATTTTTTTTATACAATTACCTAGTTCTCTGTTAACTTACTCAGTGGAGCAGCTCGAATTTACTGCCTTTTTTACCCCCATCTTATCTTGCACCATGATCCTTTTCTTCCAGTTAAAACAAATGTCAGGCATATCGAACACACAAGTGTTTTCATTGGGGCAATAAAATGTATTTTTAACATTTATAATGTCCGATACTATGGTTTAAACCTTTTAAGATAGTCTTCAACCTTGTGGGTCAAAAGCATGCGAACACCATAACTTACAATTACAGTTCAACACTACTTAACCACCTGTTTCATGCTTGAACTGCTGCATAATTTCATCCTCACAAAATGGATTAGGTATACTGCCCTGACAGGGAAATATTTTTACTAGTGATACAGTGTATTGATGCAACCCTGGCTTTTACAACCCTGCTTAAAATGGAAATGGGACACAGTTACACATACAGTATACTTTTTAAACAGCTAGCAAAGCACCCAACCAAACAAGCGCGATGAGCCTAATGGATATCCCGTGCTTGTGATCCATCTTCCCCTCTAATTCAGGCCGCAATCCATTAAACATAAGTCATCAATCGCTCAAGACCCAAGGACTGTTCTTGAAATAGTTGGGCTCATGCTTAGCTGGAGATAATAATTGGACAATCTTTGAATGGAGGCCTTGAAAGTGATGAATGATTTAAACCAGGGATTTCTTTCCAGCACCAGTCCACAGGATCCTGCTTATTGGTATGCTGTCTCTTTAAAAACCCATCTACATCTTCAAGTTGTAGAAGAGGGACTAAAATCAACTGACTAAACCTCATTGTTCTCTAAGGTGTGCAGCTGTTGGTACGCAAGAAAGATACAGAAAACGTGCTGAATTCCCGACTCTGAGGACTGGGACTAGAAACTCCTAGTTTAAATCCTGTTAGATTTCTGCTTCGATGACCAGGATTGAGGTCTACCTTAATCCATCAGTATCTGTCGGGTGCAATGGACATTTATTTAGAAAATAATTAAGAGTCTTTTATGCTAGCATTTGTTCATGGTTCACAATTACTGATTCATACCCATTTAAACTACAATACTGCTGAATATATTCACTCACTGAAATGCATCGTCAGTTATTTTCACTGTCTGTATAAACACATTAACAAATGGTGTCAAATCACTTAGGATGTTTAGTCTCCAAATGATGAAAAAAGGGCTCACAGATCAAAATTTAAAATACTTTTCAAGACAGCAGCTCAAAGAACGCACTGCACACCTACTGCCATCACACTTCTTATACGATGATAAACAGTGCAACATTATATTAATTCCTTGATTGCTATAAACAATTATTTTTCTCATAAATCAAACTAATGTACTATATTTACTTAAAAAAATAAACATATGCAGAATTCTATTCTGTATTAGTGTAGCTTAATCCACAATTATGTGGCAACTTAACCAAATTACAAGGAAAGAAAATATGCTTCTTTTTAAGGGAAGTCAGACAGAAAGAGAAAAATCACAGCAATAGCTAAACCCTCAGTTTTAAAAGACACTCTTAAAAGTTAAGATGCATTTGACTGAAAAATAAAAATGAAAACTATTGTGGAAATTCTACACTGTGAATAAATAAAACTCACATGACTTGAAAGAGACAAGAAAAACTACAATAACAGTTAATAATTCACTCATGCTTTGTGGTCAGTCTAGATGTCTTTTCTTTGATTAAACAAGTATACTTTATCTAGTTAAAACAAAACCAAGAACTAAATGAAAACAACAGTTTTCTCAAGGTGTTATATTGGCTGCACAATACACATCTGATTTTAAAGAAAAAATTCAGAAATGCGCACGTGCTCTTAATTAAATCACAAATAGTTGAACAATATTGGATAAAAGAACATAAAACTGTTGGCAGGAGTGTCAAGAGATTTTTAAAAGATTCATTTAACACATTTTATAGATTTGTTTAGGGGTATACTCAATAGTACAGGGTTCTGGATTGGTGTTCTGGATTTTATCACAATACATTGTTCCCCTAAATTCAGCAGAAGCCAGTGCAAAAACAAAATCTGCACATCTAGCACTTCAGGGGTACAGGAATTTATAAGTTCCTATGCATTGAAAAACCTCCTCAACATTACCGAGAAAAGACTTAAGTCATTTGGAGAAAACAAATCGTTCCAAATGCTCTGGTTAGCTCCTGCACACATCAAAACAACAAGAACTGAAATTCACACGTCCAGAGGGTTGAAAGTTATACAATATACTTGGCAAGAAAAGGCATTGAAATTAATAAACAGTGAAGAAAAAACATTTTTAGAAGTTACATTTACTAGTGTTATCCATTTTAAATTTATGAATACACTTTTATAATTTATAGATTTTATTTAGTAAAAACTTTAGATAATTGTCTTGTACTTTCTATGGAACTCTACATTGCCTAGTTTATTTGGATCTAAGGTTTTACACTAATCCATGTTATGGATATGACAGATCGATGCATTACCAGGAAAAACCAAGTCTTTTCAGTTCTCGACTGACTTTCTTCTGGAAGTCGAACCAAAGTGTCTTCAAAACCAGGGCTTTAGTTATAAAACGGGCACTGAAAGTTGGTTGCCTTGGAAAACACCTATTGTTAAATTCTTAACAATTATTAATTATTAAGACAAACTTTGTTTCTTATTTGTAAGATCACCAGCACGCTCACTGCACATATGATTACATATAATAACCAATGCAGTGTGATAAGAGGTTTAGGTTGTGCTTTAGCTTTGTGTACTCAAATTATAACTGTCAGCTTCCTGTTTTTAGGAGACAAACCTAGCTCTAGACCATGGGAAACCTTCATACCGTCAGCCATATATTTTTACTACATTGTGAAAATGTATCATAGACTCTTTAAACTAATTACATTTACCTATTCTTGAGACTTTTATTTTCACATTTAATATATTTGTACCACAATGATACACTTTTATGTAGCTTTGAAAACCTAATGAGAAAATCAAGGAGGACCTTAGAATTACAAACAGGAGAGAAATGGAAAGACATCTGACTGCCTTGGCAAACAAACCAGTTTAAAGATGCTGCCTCCTTCTTGGCTTTAAATAGTTTAATAAAATCATGCTGGCTGATAATAGAAATCTATACAAAAATATCATACATACCTATCCAAATACATATTTCTAATGATAAATTAACTGACATAATTCATTGTATGTTGTTTCAAGATGACTTGCAATCCTTGAGCTTGATTTGACCACTCATTTATCACACAACATGATTGTACCCCCTACCCGAATCTTGGCATTGTCCTTATTTTGTAGCATGTAGAAGATAGCTGCCTAAATGCAAAAATAACAAGAACCAGGCTTTTCTGCATTTACAGATACTGGTAAAGCGGTCTTCGGGTCACTGAACTTGACATAACATCTTTAAAATGGGGCTTGCCAAAATACCAGATAAACACAAAATGCTACCTTTGTTAAGAGAAAGAAAAATAAGCTTATTCGTATCATATGGAGGGACTGTTACCAGTAGCTACTCCATACTACAATATGCACCAATGATAATGCTTTACCAATAATGTCAACGTCACTAGTTCTGATTCACGACTCCTTACGTAGAGGACTGTGTCATTGTTAAAAGATGAAGAGAGAGGTAGATCTGAAGTCACAATTAAAGAATCATTCTAGATAACTGTGATAAAAAAGAGCAAATAGCAAAATATTCCATGGAACGAAAGATGATCACTGAATCAGAATGTATCCTCAATAGAGCCGGGATGGACTGCTACATTATTCTCTATTGCAGAACTGTATTGCTCTGGATGTCCGGTGTGTAATGGCGAGGCGGCGGTCGGAGAAGGTCGCGATCGCCGCCGCCGCCGCAGTTTGCCAATGGCTTACTTTCGCAAGTATCTCTGTGCAAGGATAGCAGCGTCCAGCGGACTGACGGGCTGGGCGTCGTGTCCCAGGCGTCGGACGGGGGGGATGTTCCCAAACTGCCGCTTGTGGAGGAAGCTCTTGGCTTCGTGAATAGTGTTTTTCTCTTCCGCGAGGATCAGCTGCTGCCTCATGTAGTTCTCAAACTCGTACTGCGAAGACTCTTCCGTCACCTTGGCCTGAGCGTAACGGGGGCACAAAAGAACCTCTTCACCCGCGAATTAAGGAAGCTTTGCACAAGTCACTTTGAGTGGCTAAACAGTCATGCAATTAGAGCTGGCAGAGAATAAACGTAGTCAGGAGTGGTGGGATTATTCAGCTTTCACTATTTGTTTTTCCCCAACAAAGGCCTGATAAAGCCTACATGTATTCTGTTGTATGTATGAAACTGTTACATTTTTTGGGGAAAAAGGCAATTATGCAAATTTCTACAATTTAATATTTTATTTAATTCTCACTAATATATTTAAATATTACCAACTTTTAACTTTTATTCATGAAAACGTCCGGACTTGTCCGTCCTTGCTATTGCATTTGTTTACCACTAGATGGCAGAATACACCCTGCTCTACATCCGCCATGCAAGCGTCCAGAGCCCTGCAATGACAGTCTATTGACCTGTGATTTCTTTTTGTACTCTTATCTTACCTCTTGAAGATGTTCGGGATGGTTCACCTGATCATCAATATCTGGCACTACCTGCAGCGGGCCACTCAGCGAAGACATTGACTGCCTGTAAAAGGTGAAGGGGGCGCAAAGATTGGAGTTTTTGATCTTGAGGTTTTTAGGTTTTATCTTTAAACGTTTCTGCAGCAGGAGAGTTTCTATTCAAGGCAATGCAGCAGTTTTTTTTTTTTACTTCATATAATGTTATGAAACTTTCAAGCGAGAGCTGGATGAGATCTGAGATCAATCCGCCACCAGAAACCAAATGAGTTAGGTAGGCCAAATGACCTTTCTTAATGCTCTTAATATTAAAAACTTGACACACTACATGGGAAATCCTCATAAAAATGCCTTAGTAGACGATTTCAATGTTCAACGTAGCACTGTTCAAGCATACTCATCGCCTATGTGCAGATGCTGGCTTCCAGTGATGGGAGTCCTTACCACGAGGCGATGATGCTGCTGAGAGACTCCAGGACCTCTGCTGCTGTGAGCCTCTGCTGTGGGTCCAGCACAAGCAATTTCCGAATAAGACACACAGTGTTGTCCGACACGCGGCCATCTCTGCCAGGGAGAGACCACGAGAAGCATTGGCTACACAAAGTTACACAAGTCAACCTTGAATGCACACTGTGTTCATTAAAGAGCTAACAAAACCCAACAGCAGTCGTTTGGCATCAAGAAACACATAATGTTCTTTCAGGAAACAGCTCGTCTAAAATTCAAGTCAGAATTCAGAGAACTTCAAATCACAGCGACGGATGAAAACACCTCTGCAAGGTTAAAAGTCAAGTAAGGGGTGCATACTCTGGGATGGTGTATTCTGCCGCTTTTATTTTTCTGAACAGCTCCTGAGGTATGCTGTCGTAGAAGGGAAACTGGCCATACAGCATTGTGAACAGCACCACCCCCAGAGCCCACATGTCGCTTGGCTTTCCACGGTACGGCCGGCCTGCACAGAAAGGAAGAAAAAGCAAACAGAACTTTTATTTTCAAGTCAACAGATACATCTTTTTTTTTTGCTATCAATATTTAGAAACAGCATTTTATTTACTGGTGAAACCCTCCGCTCCTATTGAACTCGGTGTGTTACTCCTTCCCCACGACTTGTCTAGAATTTCAGACACATCTAAGACATTTGAAACAATTTTTTCCTAAATCGCTTCTACTGGGAAATTCACAAATTTAGTTTCAACAGATGATTTTTACTCTCAATCGTGTCAAGTGCTGAACTGTTTCTTAAAGGAAAAGTTTTTTGAAAGATGGTCGGAACTTCGACAATTACTTTTTTGTCAGAGAACCTCTTTGAATTCTACAACTCAAGGCTTTTGCAGCAGACATTCTGCAGCAGATTTTCTCACATACAAGGCCTTGATCATCATAAATGATATAACGAGACATTTCTTGTCACATGCCTTCCACCCAGTGAACTGCAAATTCCTGTTTTCCATCTACCCTTTTTAATCTACAATCATAAAGGGAGCAGCAACCACCTATTTTAAACTGTTCCTATGGGACATCTATTCGCTTCAGGCACTGAAAAGCTGCAATTCATTAACATTGTAAGGATATAGGAGAAGTTACTCAATTTAAAGAGACAGGTCAAAGATTATGGTCAACATATAACAAACAAACGTAATTTAGTTTTCCCAGTGACTCATTTAGTGACTCACCGCTACAGCATTTATTGTTCTGAAGTCATGTTCATTTCATTTCTGCAGAGCTGAATCAAGCCTTTTCTTCTCAGACAAAAATATCTGAAGCTGTTCATGACTTTCTATTTGCACTATCCCTGCTTAACTTTTCTTGACTCTCAAAGATTCAACATTTCAGCGTGTGCAAAGTTAAAACTTGATTAAAGTGCTGCAGTAGAACACAAACTGTGCAAAGAAACAATGTAGCTTTTAACTGCAACAGCAACATATTTACTCCCCTGGACCATTACATTCTCATTACTTGAGAAAAATATAGTCTAAAACAAAAAAAAAACAAACACTGCAAAGACTGTACACGTTGACTTTTACTAAGAACTCCCCCCTCTAAGTCTCCAGAGTTGTGAAAACTAATTTGCTGAATCATTTCACAGGAAATCTAAATGCTGTCTTTATCTTTTAAAAGCATTACATCACTTCTCTTATGCATGGATTTCTGAAACTTGAGCGTTAGCTGTTCAAGCTGAGCTCTAACTTCTTTCATTGATAAATGTCTTTCGGTTTCTACAATAATAAATCTCAGTATGGATGCTCTCCCTCACCACTGAGCACATCTGGGCTGATATAAGCTGGGCTTCCCCGCTGGTCCTTGAGAAGGTCGTCCTCACTCACTAGGTGTTTCCCCAAGCAGAAATTAGTGATGGTAATTCTGTGAGTCCTTTAAAACGAAAGCAATGAAAAAGTCTGATGAAGTGAAAAAAGGAACTGGTTCACTGACATGGATTTAACCAGGCTTTTAAGTTATCATACTTAGGGTTTCTTGCTTATGTCAAAGTGGCTTAGCACTTAGCAGTTTAAAATACATGTACCCTTTAAAACTAATGCAATCTTATCCGATGCAATAAGACCTGAACAAAATTTATTTAAGAGCATTTAACAAAAAAAACATTCCCCTAAAGAGGCTCTCGCCGTGTGACTACACTAAGAATTAAAAAAAAAAATCAGCTTTACAAAACAGTTTATCTTTAAATGCAGAAGCTCCTAAACCTCCAGCTGGACAGAAAAATCAATTAGGTGTTGTTTTTAACAGGTGTTAAAAAGTTGCCTTAAATCAATTTACATTTAAAAGGTAACGCTTCTGCAAGCTTCCAACCCAACCACAAGTTTATGTGGCCATTCCGCCTTAATGTGTGACTAGGGGGTGGGTTGGAGTTTTGTGTTAATCTGTCCCATCAATTCAATACTGCACAAAAAGGGAAACTCTATCCATCTGTGCAGTATATATAAAACACGTGCCATGCATAATGCAGGTACACTTTTTACAATTCTGAAGGCTGTAGATAAATCTGCTTGAGATGAACATTGCTAGGTTGCAAATGTAAGGCCATGCAGCTCCTCTTGTTTACTTGAAGTATACTGATTCAATATTCACTACCACGCCTTTCTATGGGGTTGACTCTGTCAAAGCCTTTCAGGATAGTACATACTTGTAATCCTGAACGGCACTGGCAAAATCAGCTCCCAAATTTACAGGCTTTTTTCAATCTTATGGCAATATACATATACACACACAGAAACTGCTGCTAATTAATGAAATGTCTGTGAAACAGATTATTCAAACTTTATAGAGTGAAGAAAAAAAACAAAAGACCACATTGACAAACAGATGAGTCACCATATGGCTTCGGTTAAACAACTAGAATGACTAATACTTTGATGAACAACATATAATATTTTAAACCAGACTGCATGTATAGCCCAAACGCCCAAAGGGCTCAGATTACACAAAGTTCCATACAGCCAGATTTCATGGAGCCTGCTTTGAATTCACATAAGCACTCTCGAAAAATATTTTGACCTGTAGCTCTAAAAGAGGGCACTTGATTACAACAAATGCATCAAAATCTGGAATGCTGGACCCAATTTATAAAGCTAATATCACTTTAGCTAAGAACTAAGAATCCTAAAGCCAGCAGAGGTTCTGCAAACAGTAATTGGGCATCTAAAGGACAATATAAAGCCAGATCACAAAACAGAGTAACATGAAAGAACAACATGTGCACAGCTCATAAGCAGGAGGACAGAGTTCTGTGGTACAACCATGTTGTGCAGTACACTAATGGCAATGACACATAGCAGCCTGATCTGATCAAACATGAAGCATAACAGATCCACATTTTGCACATTCAGTTCACATGGAATGAGGCAGATGACCCTGTTTTAATTAATGTCAGATCCTTGCTCAAAAGGCCTTGACCAACATGGAAAAAAACAATCTGGGGACGTTTCCAAAGGGGGCTCCCTGTTGGGATATCCTTTATATGCCCGAGAATGTTTTTTGGAATTGTAATGCTGAATTTGATTGCAAGTTTTAGTGTGCAAGAAATGACATGGGAAAACACTTCAGTTCTGCTTCACTGCTGCACAACCCACATGGTGTGCACAGATGACAGGAAACCAGAAACCCCACATCTCCATATTTAATCAAAGATTTAAAATAAATAACCTCGAGGAGACAGGCCTGGTCCATTAGAGCCTTTCCATCAATTTGTAAAAACAACCAGTCTGTCAATTTGTTATTCAATATATAGTTTAAGCAGACAAGAATATAAATAAGAGATGACACTGCAAACACTAAAGCACAAATTTCAAAGAATGAACAGTAAATTCAGTGTTGCATTATAACAAGGTTATTTATTTTAAACAATGGAAACAATTGTTTGGAATGCTGACAGTAAGCTACAGTAAAAACATTAACAATTCAAAAGTAAATGAAATTAAAAGCAAGACATTAAACACAACACTTTTTGAATGTAAAGAGCCGCAAAACAAAAAATGCAACAACCACAATATTCCCTTGTTTAGACGGAATTTGTTTCACAGTAACAAACCACACATTTTGTTTGCAACCCCTGTGTGAAAAGAAATATTTGGAGAAACAGAGGTGTGAAGAGCCCGCGGGAACCCTCCCCCAGATTTAAAAAAACCTGATTGGAACGGATCTAGTCAAAACTAGTTATCACCCCATTTGGAAGAGTCATCACAGCAGGAGGAAAGCCAACTACTTAAAATCCAATTCGGTGCTGATAAATAGGAGGGGTGGGGCATCCTTACTTGGTGAATGACTGACAGTCACTGTGGCGACACTTTTGTTATTAATCTCCACAACATGAAAGGGGCTTGCATCTTAAAAACAATCAGCAGTGCAATCGGGTTTGACACCAACGCACATGACAGAAATCAACATGCTGTCCCCAGGCATTAATGCACTGGGCCCTCTGAAGGGTGAAACTCCAGGTTTTTTTCCCTTTTCATGTTGCAGTCTGTACTGACGACGGTACAAGAAGAAAAAAAAGTAAATACTGTCTTGCGTCAGCAGCGCTAGCTCTGGATGACTCATACCCTCGCAATGATGGCTCTCCTGGCAGAGCTCTATTGTTTCCCTGGAACTGTGCGTTCTGCTACCTTGTCTACTATGCTGCCTTCATAAGACACTTTCAATTTCAAACCACATATGCATACAAAAAGAAATCGGCAGCAGACAAGAGGAAAGAAAAAAAGATGTTCTGCGTTTATGTGTTTTGACAGAATGTCACGCTTCACTCTTTACCCTTTTGTTACTTTTACCAAGCATTTATGTATAATGTCCCTTTCTGGGGAGAGCTAAACAGAGGAATTACTGTGAACGGAAAAGGCTTTTTTAGCACTGATGCAAAATAACATTTTGATATAGTGCTGCATTTATATGTTTCCCTGGCTTTAATAGGAATACTTTCTGAATCACTCTGTCTTACAATCTTTTAAGTTCCAAGCATTTTCCATACACATGCTTGCTTCAGAAGTGAGTGTTTTGTCTTGCATTTAATGCATTTAGAAGGGATATTAAAATGCAAAGTTTTAAATCTATGGCAAAACTGAGCCAGAACTGCTAAACTTTACTGAGATTTATTCAATATTACTTCTTTATATAACATTTAGATAGTTTGAGAAGCAAATGCAGCAATGCACAGCAATTTTAGCATTCTTGGAAAACCACATTTAATTAAAATCAACTTTTGATAGTTTATTTTTTGCTAATCCACGATTCATATGACAGCTAACCTCACGGCAGGTTAAGAATAAAACCAGTTCAGACCTTACCTTTTATTGAGCACCATGTTTCCAAGCTTCAAGTCTCTATGCACAATATTCTTCTGTAGAAAATGGAGAAAAAGGCTGTCACATTACACCTTCTACATCAAGGTAGCTGCTCTAGTGCATTGAAATGCTTTCCAACCCAGTTAGTAATATACTGTATACTGACTGAACATGGGACAATCTGCATGTTTCACTATCCTCTCTGTTCTGACCTTTCCTAAATGCATGGTATCTTTTGCTATTCATCCACATGTAAGTAGATGACCTGCATTACAGGTTATTTACAGCTTTCAAGCTTTAAGCCCCCTTCTCACCAATGGTATCAAGTACAAATTAACCCGTTAGTGTGATAAAGGCTAAGAACAATAACGTTACCTTATGCAATGCTTCGACAACTCGTACCACATCGTAGAATATTACAATGGTTTCTCTCTCGCTCAGTCTCTTCTCCTTAATAACATAATGCTGGAGGTTGATGAGGTCTGCTGTTTTGTCACTGAAATCGTGAGCGCAAAGACAATCAAGAACTAAACAGATCCGCTTCTTCATTTTTCGGATTTTGTTGGCTTCGTGATCTTCAACAGTCTCGTAGGCTCGATCCTGCAGGTCAGAGTGCATGGCAGTTTTTTTTTTAATAGTGTTTTCAGTTAACGGTTAAAGACTCACAGTCATAACTGTAAAAAAAATCATTTTGAAAAGAAGTTTACGTTCTTCCTTTTCACAGTTCACTGAAAAAGTCAACAGGTGACAGTTACCTTACAGATACGAGAGGCAGTAGTACATTATCCTTAACTAACTGGTAATGTGCAATTTATTATTACATTTTATGCTCATTCCAAAAGAAATGGAAAGGTGACTGTCTAACGTGAGGTACTCAGAAAAATCCAGGAACCATCTCTTAAATCCAAGACTCTCTTTCCCATATATTTGAAAGACTCTGGAACATTTGCTCCTGAAAGGAGCAATTTCTATATATTTAGAAATATATAGAAATATATAGTTTTATTAAATATAGTTTCTATATATTTCTAAATATAGTGGCATTGAACACGGTGAGGGGGAGGGCTGGCTGGACTACACATCTGAAATTCTAGGCAATCAGAATTTCCCTTTTGATTAAATTAACTGTAAATTGTTTATCAACGGCCGCAATGCCCCTCTTGTTGCGGGACGGCGGAGGAAGTGCAGGAGAGTGCGCTGATCGTCTCTCACCTGAAAGAGTCCATGATGGTGCACCACTCCGTCCTGATTGTGAAGCAAAGACAGCAGGGAGTATTCCGTGTGCAGCAGCATCTTTCCTTGACGCTCCTCCTGGGTCTCCCCTCCCTTGTCAATCCTTTCTTCCAAAGTGAGGATCTGTGAAAAACAAACGCATAAAACATACACGCTCAGAGATGGTAGCAATTTATGTTAAATGGTTCTAGAGAGGAGCAATGCTGTGATTCCTGCAAACTAAATTAAGACTCACCTTTAACTGATAAAAATCATCTGTGCCATCTTTTCTTGCCAGGCATTGAACTATACTTGGCACTGGAGAGTTCCCTAATCGAGGTCCTGAGAACACAAAGCAAAGGTCCTGCATTGAGTAGTTTTCTACAGACACAACAGGTGCTCAATATATGCAATCAGAAAACAGTAGAATGCCATTTCAAGACCTACTTTAGCCTCTAAAAAGGAAAACGTAGAATGATATGATAATCTTTATGACAACTGAGCTTCAAGTATTTATGAACTGCACAGAACCACTTCATTTTTTTTAGCAATCTAAGAAGTGGCACTTAAGAATGACTGACTACTAGCAATTTTTTTCACAGAGTCATTGTACCCTGCAAGAGACTCTTTATGAGTCTCTGTGCTACAGCTTTTTGAGGTCTTAATTTTAATCACATTGTTTTATTATCCATAAATTGTTATTACCGACAGAAAATTAAATGACTCCACTTGTGACTACTTCCTTTCCCCTATAAATTGTGATAACGATCATTGATTAACTATTGCAAATATAATACATAGACCGACAAATAAAAATAACTAATTTTTGTAAATTAAAAAAAAATACAAAAAGACCTAGCAGACACTGTACCATTTCCATTAAAGCATAATAAATTCCAAATGACCAAAACCACTGGGATATACACAATTTTAAAATCCCCTAAAGAAACAGAACTGATGGAAAAAAACATCCACCTTCTTACCTAGAATAAAGGGCCCGGCTCTCTTGGCATTATTTCCCGATATCCCAGAACACAGAACTTTGCTGGCTCTGGCGGACGTCTCTCCTGCTCCCCTCTCCGATGCCCGTCGCTTTGACATCCTCTTAAAGCGCTGAACGGAACACAAGGACAAGACCTTAGCAAGCCAGAAGCAGCAGGCATTACATGTGCTGTCTGCCACATTTCAGCGCAGCACGAACCATCTTCCAGAAGAACACTGTGTACAGCCGTTGCCTGGCAGTACAGCCCCTGCCCCAGTGATGTGTAAGAGGAGGTGCCTCAGTTACACAATATTATCAGCACCCCCCCCCAACCAAGACAGATTATCTACATAAACATTCAGTAGTAGTTAACAGGACATTGGAGGTTAATTAGCAACTGTATAGGAGTGCTGGAGGTGCAAACAAACCCTGTAACACCCAGATTAAATCACCTCCAGCAAGAAGGAGCACATGTAGTGAGGCATCAGCATGGAGTGACGGTGAGGACTGCATTGCAAATAGGAATTTTGCTCTCAACCAACATTGTTAAATTCAGGATTGAAACACAAAACGTCACTTTTTGAAAAAGAAAAGGACACCTTGGTTAGTAGCTGGAGTGTGGGCAGCTGTTACGTTTCTGAGCAAACGGAGCAAGCAGATATTAATTCTGTGCTGGAAAAAGTAAAAAGAAAAAATATTTCAACTGCTGCAACCTGAAGAAAGCTCCAAAGTCAATGTGTTCTGTTCTTTACCGTGTGAAAAGATTAAAACTTTTGGCCCATTTAAAAAGAATAATAACAATTAAAGGCTGATTTTGAGGGCCTTACAATAATGCATTGAGAAAACCAAAATGACACTGAATATTCAGCATTATTGTGATGTTTTGCTACTCTTTGGTGAATTTAATCGGTCAATGTTATCTGACGATCTATATTACACTTTCTGTTACAATACTTCCTCTTGCTCTTAATGCAATTTCCTATAAACACAATCTCTTCTGCAAAAAGTAAAACTCACAAATCCATTACACTGTCAAAACTGACCAGTTTTTTTTTACTTATAAAAAATGCCACACTACCAGTAAAAAATGAACTTTCCATTCAAATTACATTCAACAGTTCCAAGTACACTGTGTAACAGAACAGCAAGACTTCTTTAATGCTCCTAATTTTAAGTGGCCAAGTTCTTGCTCATTTTAAACTTGGACAGAACAAACGTGGTATGACAACAAGCTCTTAGACACTTTCTATTTTTGCACACAGAGAAGCAACACTTCAGAAAGGAATTGCAAGACTGAATTATGACAGGGTCATCTTAAGAAAAACATGATTCTCTCTTGCAAAGCACTTCCGTTTTGTTAATTTAACACATTTCCAAGTAAGACACAAACTCAATACTATTGCTCTTCTTTAACAAGCACAAGCACATGCTTGTAGAACAGGTCACTAATCAATCATTTCAGATTTCATGACAGAATGCTTTAGCAGTTGTTTAATGTCCCTTCTTTATCTGCACAGAATATTTTCTTTTTTAATATGGTAAGCATCATTATATCTGAAGAAATTTCTTTCTCCATTTAAAGTGTAGTTCCCATAACAGAGAAGTAAGCATATGACCAAGAGCAGTGAATCACATCTTCCCTGCAGGGTCCCGGGGGTAAAATCGAGAGTATGTGACTGACAACAAACATGATGCTTCAATAACTTGTGCTTTCTACATTTTTTAAATATTCGATTCCTAATAAAAGGTCTATCTTTTCTTATTTTTTAAACTGCCTATGTAATGCAGTGATGTACGAAAAGATCTTTAAAATAATACTTCCTTTTGACTCAGAACTATATGAAATAGGGTGCATGCAGCAGTGAACTAAGTGGGCCACTTTAAAAAAAAATCAAACACATTCTTGGGGTTTTGGACTACATGCGCCAACACAAAATAGTACAGTTCCTACACTAATGGAGGACAATTTATCAGACCATGTTGTGAAGCAATATTCCATGTCACCAGTCAGCTATTTTTGCTGTGTTTTTTAATGAGGGAAATCCCTAAACCGTGAACTTTACACCACACTGCTACAGTGCACACAGCAGGAACAGAGAATTGCTTATTACATGAACATAACCAGGAAAAAGGCCTGGAATGCTGCTTGTACATCCTCTCAAATTAACCACAGACCTGGCTGTTACTCAAGCTTGGGTACTGGCAGCACTGGTTATATTTACACATTGCTGCGTAAAACAGCATTTTCTCAACACAGACACACTGCAGTGCTATAAAGTTCACCAGAGGACTAGTCCATTTGTGGTCCACCAGCATGTAGTCAGGACTCTCTTTCATCTTTTCTTTCTAGATATGAGCCATGCCACTTTAGAGCACCACGCTCAGCATTTTCCTTTTCTGTTGTATCTCAGCTTGATAGCAGATAGCAGGCTAAAAAAAAAACAGGTTAGAGCCTTTCCCTTCTAATTCCATAATCGCATGATGGGAACATGGCCTCTGGATACATTCAGAGTACAATTCCCTTGTATTTTTGCACAGACCAGATTAAAAATAAAGGAAGTACCTTTGTTCCATGTAGGTCATTCAAAAAACAAAAACACTTAAATATTCAGATGAATGAAGAACGAGTGGTACTTGAATCAGCATTTTTACCTCGTCTCTCTTCTGCTTCAGATTACAATAATGAGACAGGGGAAGGCACTTAGTACTTATTGTAGCTGCGATCTCCTCAGAGACTCAGGGTTTTAAAACAGCAGTCTTAGCCAGAAGGAAAAGTTGTAGGCAAGCAAACTAAGGTATATACTTTGTTTTTAAATAGCGTTTATGTTAACACTTAGACTGTAGTCCAGCTAAATTTCATGGCTTCATATTCTATCAATGAATAAAATGTTATATTTATCAATGCTAAACATCATGCATAAAAATAGCATCAAATAAAGCAGTGCTACAGTATGCACAAAGGCGGCGGTTTTAATGAATTGGATCAAATTTGTCCACCCTCAATTTATACATGGGGAGAAATGACTAATTACAGAGGAGACAGAATAATGCTGTTGTTTAAACACATCTTGCCTGTGCCTCTCAAAAACTGTAAATCTGAGATGTTATCACAACTGCAGGACTGAACAGCAGCTTTCACAATGGTTTGCTTTAATGACAAATCCTCATGCCGGCAGGGAATATCTTGTTTCTATAACACTATGCTACTAGTACGATGGTTCACCGTTTAGCAGATAAGACAGGTTATGACAAACCTTCACCACGCTAGAGAGAAGGCCTCCAAGACGTGTTTGCAAAATTTTGTAATGCTCAGAACCAAAAAAATAAACACCATTATAATTCTGTAGAAAACGAGGAAATGTGCAGAATTGCACCCAAAAGGTGCATTTGAATTGAATTGGTAACCACCATTTAAATACAGATGCAGCCTAGTGAAAAACAGAAACATTCTCGCATCAGGCGATAAACGGAGGAGCGTGAAACAGTAAGTATAGCGCAGTGTCTCCCAGTCCCTCACCTATACACATGCAGCGACCGATAATCACAGATGGAGAGAGACGGTGACAAGTTTTGAGAACAGGTCAGAACCATGGACAAATTTAACTGCTTCACCACATTTCAGACATGCAGAGACAGACATTTAAGCTTTATCTGTGCAAAGTGAAGTGTCTTTAAATAGTTGTAAAAGCAGCACTGGGCAACAGCAAGTCGCTGATGTTCCACCCACTGCTATCATTCTTAATCTGCTTCTAAAAGGCCAAACCACCCCCACCGAAACAAATCTGAAAAATGTACTGCACAATAACAATGACAGACTCGTGTAGGCAACACACTAAATGAACACTGTAACCAACAAGATGAGCTACTAAAAGCTTTGGAAAGAGCTCAAAAACGGAACCTGTAAATCCTCATCTTTTGTGTGCATACTATACACAGGATTTCCAAAAGAGATGACATACATACCGTACAATCACAATAGCTAGATTTCTATTCAGTTTTATTTTAGTATGGTGTCTATTAAGTGCACAGTAACTGGACCGGTTCCTACACAGAGGATGAGACGGTGTTAAAACACAAACTATAATGCATTGGTGCGACAAATGGATACGTATCCTGGTGTCATCTGTAAAAGCATTAACACATCAAGTAAACTCGGGGAAAATAAATTTTGATAAATAGCTGCATATCTACCAGCAAAAAGCTTAGGCCCACAACATCGAAAGAGAAATCTTGGCTGAGACATATTTTATGCATATTGATATTTCGGCTGCTGTGTGATATGACTGATATTGAAAAAAACGCACGCATTAAAAGGAAATAAAGCAAGCGCCAATGAGAGAGTGCACGGCAAACTATCAATCACAGCTAACACTTCAAAAATAGTGCTGTCAGCTCACGAACACATGCACTCACTCCATCAACAAACGAAAAAATAATGACGTGCACATTTTCGGTTTAGGGTGAGGACACACAACGTGTACCAGGCAGGACAAGCGAATGCCCAGAAAATCCAGCACTAGCTCTGACTGCGCCGCGCTGATGTGTAGGCTATCTTCTGCACCAGATTTAAAATGCACGTCTGAATTTTAAGATAAAGGAACTTTAGACTTCAATCGAAAGGCTTCCCCCGTGCCCTTGTGTGTGTGTGGGGAGTAAAACACGTTCACCTCACACACAAAAGGTTGCACGCTAACAGCAGCGCTCTCCTGCCCAGTGCACCTCATTTCCCCAAATTAAATGTGGGGGGACACATTCTGGTCGAAGGAGGTACATAATGGAAGACCACAGGTCACTGTCGCACTAATGACTGAGCAAACAAAGAGAATAAGTTCCGTCGCGGCGTTTCTGCACCGTCAACTTATAAGACACCGATCTGACAAAGAGTTGAAACTCGCACACCAGGCCAGGAAGAGGGACAGGGAAGTACAATTCAGCTTTACTGTAAGGACACGACCCCTTTTGTTGACCGAAAGAAACTCGAAGCCAATTCCGACAGGACACCATTTGTCTCCAGTCCCGTCAGGGCTCGGGGCTGCTGGCCGAGAGGACCCCACGCGTTAAAAAAAAAGAGAGAGAGAGAGCAAGAGACACGACCTGCCCCCCGAAAACACGACTCATCACAATAAAATGATTTTTTTGTTTGTTTGTTTTGTTTTCCGAAGACAAGAGCCGAATACCAAGCCCCTTGTCTTTTACAAGCAAGACCAAAACAAAAACGTACCGGCATCCAAAACAAAATATATATATATAATCTTGAGAACCAACCAACCAAAATAAAAAAAAAAAAAACAGTTTGAACAGATCATGAAGGAAAATAAATTACAGGAAACCGGCACAATTCTCCACACGGCGTAGTTAGGTCTCTCAGCACGCATTTCACTCTAGCTCAAATCCGTTTAACTTGATATGTTATGGCAGTCAGAAAACACCACCTTTCGGTCGCCCAACACAGTTTTTAAAGCCACAGACTAACTAGGCCCTTTAAACAAAGTACAGTAGTAGTGTGTTTCCAGTTCTGAGCCTGGGCAGCCGAGATCCTTGATCGACAACTTACCTTATGCCAAAATACAGCCGGGAAAAAAACCTCCTCTACAACAGAGGCATTCTTCCTGCTCTGTGTTCAGGCACGGTGCACTGAGTTTTACTTTCCCAACGCCACCAGCCCGTCTTTTGTAATTTCAGAAGTTGTTTTATTATTACTGAAATGAGCAAGCCAGGAAAAACCTCCTCTTTCTGACCCTCTGATCACATCTTTCCATAGCAGCACCACCTGACAACGGAAATGACGCACGTCTCCTGAATGACAGCCTCGCTCAGCCAATGAACGAGCGGCTTCGGTCTGTGACACTAATGTAAAAACTATGAGGGTTTTTTTTTTGTGCCTTCCTTGCAATGTAGCTCTGCAGGAAAACGGGATATTTAATTTAAAGGGCAGGCTGAACTGAGCGGTCTGTCTGATCTTGCACAAGCGCGTTTGCATAAAGACCACTGTTGCAAATGGATTACTGAAGATTACAGTAATATAGATTAGTGTATATCCCTGCATTTGTTACTCAAAGGGAGGTGCTGTCTACTTTAGTGAAAAAATGTTTCGCTGTTTTTTTAGAGTCGATATAGTACTCTAAATTTACAGATTTAGAAAACGTCATCATATTGTACTGAATAGAGAATCTTTCTGACCCACAATCGGATACTTCGTTAAAGGCCTTCTCAACGTATACGTTTTTTTTATCTGCAGAGCTAGCTGTGAATGATCTGGAAAAAATAGGCAATGTCATAAGAAAAAATGGAAACCAAAATGTTAACCATCGTATAAATCAGTACGTTGTGTTTCTGCAAAGGAAAACATATAACTATAATTTGCGCAGGCCAATCAACACTCTTTGTCTATGACCATTGTCTTACGTTTCTAAACATATAAGCACAAATGTAGATATAAATGTATGTGGAATACATCCGGCGCATTTTAGATTGAGTGATTGAAATGGGGAACGGAATTTAAAAAGTGAACAATTTGTACTTTCACATTTAGATAAAAAAGTAACACAAAACTTGAATGCAAAAAGGCTGGACAAACAGGCGCCCCATGTACTCTGACTGTGACTGCATTTGTAATAAGGAACTCTGACTCATGTTTCATGCAAAATTACAATCATGAAACAGCTTATGCAATACTCCTAATAGGTAGTGCTATACTCTCCTCTGAGAGAAACAGCCATTCAAGACATGGAGCCAAATCCACTCACTCAGGCGAATACAATGAGCATGATTGCAATCATGGAACGTTAGCTATAGTCGTTATTAGGATCTAGTCCTCCACACCGAAGCAAATCTGACTGACTGTGGTAAGTATATAGAAGGTGTGAAACTTGGGACAATGACTTATTATTATGGGTCAGGAGGTGCAGAGATGTGCTGTTCTAAATGCATGGCTACTGTTTTGTTCTTGTGAAAATCAATAGGAATTGAAAAGAATCACTCATGACTGGTGATTGTGAATATTTTACATAATAACTTTAATAAATAAAATGTCAAAAAAACTTCAGATGCATCTGTTCTTTTTATATAACTTGTGTAGCCTTTCTATTTTTAATGGTAATATAAATCGATCCAGCCTGCCTCAAGGTTATTGATAACAGGAAATTTAAGTATGCCTGTATCTCAGTGACCTATTGCAGGTTTTACGGATCTATTTTAGTGCTCTGAAGTTCATAAAAAAAACTGGCAGAAGTGAAGCTGACAGGTAATCTCGAATGACACAGCAGCTACTGACTGTGGAACTGCTGTCTCAAAAATGTTTTAACAGGATCTCCCACTAGGCCAAATATAGCCCCTCCATGCAGAATAACACCCCACCTACAGTCACAAAACAGTGGGCAGGTGAAAAATGGCTAGTCCAAAAAAAAAAAAAGGAACAGCCGTGCTATTTTCAGCCGGTTTTTCATGTCCTGCGTGATTCAGTGCAACTCTTCTGTTCAGCCACATAAAACGTTTTTCCACTGCAAGGGTTAACACATTAGCCATCCCACATCTGTGAAGTGGAAACTATGAATCACAGTCAGAAAGCGCCCACAGGTGAAAAAAAAAAAGCTAGATGCCATCCGACATAAGTTCAAAGACATAAAAGCAGTTGTAACCACACCTTTTCTCTGGTCTTCTTTCTATGGAATTACGCAATTTGTATTGAACATTAGGAGTATATTTATATACATGTCCACTGATGTTCCTGTTTAGAAAAGCACCCTGCATAACTAGTGGCTGTGAGCCTGCATCAGCAAGAGTACGTTAAGAATTGTACCAAAAAAGTTATTAAAATGTGGCACATTTCACCTTCTTACAGACGCTTCGCAGCAGATCTTCAACTTCACAGCTCACTCTGTTTGAAGATGAATGGTAAAGAAGGCTAGATATTTGAAAAGGATCTTTAAATGAATACTGCAGGAGTTCGCAATGTGTTCCCTTATTTACCGGCTATTTCTTTTCAATTTTGTATTTGGTACATATTTTAAAACTTGCTTTCAGCTCTTAAAACATTGAATGGGACTTGCAATTGATATCCATCCTACCTCAGTTTCTGACTTCCGGGGGTGAGCTTTTGGAGGTCTGTTGCCCGAACCAACCAATTGCAACCAGTTAGAATAAAAAAAGGTTTAGCCATGAAGGAATGAGTGTGAATCAAATATCGGCACATAATAACAAAAGGTGGCATTTCGGCTTGTGTAGCCCAATTGGTAGTTAGTAGTTAATTAATCCAGGGATCTCATTCTGGAGAGGATGAAGAACAGAACAAAAATACAAACATGTGGACTGTACAAATTGAAGTGCAGCTTTGGAGACAAAGCTATTAAGAACTTCACAGTAACAGTGTGATAATAGATACTGGGAAGCAAATGGGTTTTATCCTTTCAGATGAATAATTGACCTGAGACAAGGCTATACAAAATGGCTCAGAATGCCCTAATGCTACGATTTAAAACACTCTGGAATATTATACAGAATCATACTGGCAAAAACAAGAAAATGGGTCAAAGTAAAGCACTTAAGAATACTATAGCACTACTAGAAAATGAGCTTGGAAAAATAATATTTAAATTGGCACAAGCACAATAGCATATAGTGAAAACATGTTAAGTATTGCCATATGAGACTTAAGGCTTTTTTAAATGTGATTTACAGACCCGTAGTACCTTCTAGAGCTAAAACTGATTGAATTGATCTGTTTGACCTTGGGAACAGCTTCAGAGAAGAATGGAAATGGATGTTAACAATGAGCCTGTACCTGGGCATGCCAGATGTAGGGCTTTGCTATGAGGCAATAGTGACATATAGCAGTAAGGATATCTTTTTACCAACACGTTTAGGAGATATTGCCTGTTCATGTACAAAATATTCATACACAATGCTTCTATTGTCCTTGCCTGTTTGCTGGTACCATTACCACTTTGTAGCCTAATCTTGGCATTGAAGCTAAGGTAATCATCACAGAAATTAAGCAAGATTGAGACTGTTTATTACCAAATTTGGAGGACAGTAAGAAAAAATTGTTGGAGGCACTCTACTAAACCAGAATTTACAAACCAAAACCCCAGGACAAAGACAGGGACACTGATCCTTCGGAGGTGCTTTAAGTGAGACATTTAACCAAGGTTCATAACTATTTTGTCATTAGAAATCCCATGGTGCTGTTTGAATGAATAAGGGTGTTAACCCTGTGTCCTGGCTAAATCACACTCTGGGCTTGCACAAAGAGCCTTACCTCAAGTTTCTTCTTAATTCAATTGGTGATAAAATTTCTCCCTTCTCCATCTGATCTGCTGTGCAGTGGACATAGTGGCGCAGAAAGACTACCACTATCCAAGTGGTGCTCAATTCAGAGGTGGCCCCTTCTACAGTATATGTAAAGCACAGTAGGATTCTTCAGGATGAAGACCTCTATATACCTACAAGGATGTAATTGATGATGTAGCCAAAAAGGCTTGCTGGCTTCAGCTGAAGTTCCATTCAGGCATGAATTCAAATGTTTTTTTTCATACCTGACTTCTAATTACTTACTACTGTGGAAAGACCCTGGCCTTGGTTTCTTTTTATATCTTGGAAACAATGACCTGAAACAGCCGTGTCCACCTGCTGTTCCTCTCTGCTGCAGGGATAAGCCACTCTCGTCCAAATTATCAACACCAGCTGTCATTGGAAGGCAGACAGCTGCAGCGCAGTGAACTGTTCCTGACACTTGAAAGATAGTTCAAGAAAGGATTCAGCATCAGATAAGACAGAAAACATTCAGGTTTAACATCAGATAAGACAGAAAACATTCAGCCACTAAAGCCCATAACTTTTTTGGGGCGGTATTATGTGTTCTTTCTGGATTCGATACATGAGTGCTGACCTCAGTGAGGACAGAGGGGCCAATTACTCTTCCAGTTCTATTTTCCAACAGGGAATTAAGGAACAAAATCCAACTTTCCACTCCAGTGCATAAACTTGAACACAGAAGAACGACTTGATAGAATTCAGTGATTGTAACCATCCACAGGAAAGGTAGCTACTACATTTTACGTTTTAGACTTTTTCCTTATACTTTGCCACTGTTGTGAATGGCCATCTGATTCCAATATTTTTCCTTGACAATCAGAACCACAATGTCTACCGCTATTGAGAGGTCCAGGAGATTCCCTTGATAGCAAGGAAAACGGAGCAAAGTTGAACAGTCTAGACTGAGAAGCCCCTTCCCAGCTGCAGCCCCCAACGCCATGCCCACTCCCACGCTGTGTGTGATGCCCTGGCATGTTTTGACTGTGTGGTATGCAATATTTTCGTGGCTTGGCAGGGGAATCAGGGGCTGAGTCAAGCTCAGACGCCTCAGTTTCTCTTTTACGTGATGGCAGACTGCACTCAAATAACCCAGGTAAGTGTGCATCGTTGTCATGGAAACATTCCATTAATGGCAGGACTTCACTGTTTTCTGAGTGGGTGGGAAAGCGCCAAGGGCCAAAAACAGTCTGTGGTTGGAGAAGGACTAGGAACCGTCTCCTGTGTTCAACCACTCCTAATGGGCTTTCTGCTCCAAACACTTTCTTGCGATTTGTTAGGAGCGCCTTGGTGAAGCACCTGTCAACGTCTGTTTGACTGCCTTGAGATGCATCCCTACTTGGCATGCAAGACTGTCTGAAATCCAGTCCAAAAGATGGCAGCCAGTTACTGTATATCATGTTTTATAGCTCAAGGCTTTATTGTTTTTGTTGTTTATTGCTCTTAGTCAGTGACAAGGTGCGCTATCATTTGTTTACATGACTCAGTAGTTGAGATCCGGACTGTGCGCTTCCTGGAAAAAAAAGAGGTTTACGTCCATGTGTACAATGTACTTTGGTGCTTTGCCATTCTGGAAACCACAGCGATACGAGACACTCATGTTTGCACTGGAAGGCATGCATAAACAAGGGGTCAAACGGTCTGATAGAAACTGAGCAATGGTGAATAATTGTTTAGATGTTATGTTCTGTACACTATATCTCTATAGCTGCCTGAGTTTGAACACCAAAGACAATAAGAGTTAGCAAGAGAGCTTCCAAAGTACGCAACCTACAGAACGTTCAACATCCTGCTACTTTTTTGGTGTCCTGCCTCCCTGAAATTGCTGCAGTAATGTTACCTACTGTCCAAAATTAATATTTAGAAGGCTCGCATTAGATGTATTTGTGAGGTACATGATGTATTTGTAAGGTTTTCAAACTTTTTAAAGTGATGACCCCCTAATGATGACCCTCCTAATGTAAAGTATAATGTTGGGTACTAAGAAAGGAGAGACATCCTAGTTCTCTTCTACAACTTGTAGAACTGTAAAAATAAAAATGTTAAAACAACTTTGATAACTGTAATTTAATCTTTAAAACTAACAAAATGGCAACTCACCTGAACACAATACTTGAAAACATTGTCTTACAGTATCTTCCAGGATGATATAATTTTAGGGTGTACATCCCTGAAGCAGAAATGATCATTCTTCACTTAAATTAAAAATGAACATATGGTATTAACCTAAAATCCATGGTGTTTTACTTTTTATCTCTCAATTTACAGTAAATTTAAGACCACTCACTTAATCAGGAATCTTTACTCTCTGTGCGTGCACATTGCTACGATTATGAAACAGACAAACGTGGAAAAAGAAGCAGATTGTTTAAGTCTCTGCTATTTCGTCAACAGGATCATAGCATATCGTATTTGTCTGCTTTAATGCTTCCTGTTGATAAGCACTAAAATGTGTGCAGAGTTGTCGCTACCATTGCACAACTTTGTATGTATTCCAAACAGCCGTGCAGATCAGATGAGGACTGCTTTGGCTGTCCTTAAACATTGCACAGAAAGTGGCTCGGGTCACAGCTCATTCACCTCCGGTATTTTCCATGTGTGGAACTCCTGAGATTCCTCCGACTCTTAAAAAGAAGCTGGTCTTTTTGAATGAGCTTTGATTTGACAAAAGTGTGCCACACTCACAGGTTCAAATCTCTGTACTGTACTCTCATACACACTGGCATCATCAGTGTTCCAAATAAGTTCCAAAAGTAAAAATATCAAATTTTACACAGCAGGATATTTATAATAAATACAATTTATAAGAAATACAAACAATTCATATGTGATACATTTGTGCAAGGCTTTAGATATTCTGACATTTCAATGCATTTCTTCTTGGTAGAAATGAGTTTATATGTTATACATCTGTATATTTTTTTATGATGATACTGCATTATCACCCTTTTTACTGGAAGTACTAAAAGCCTAACCTAGTTAGCAGTGGGTGTCTATCAGACGCCCACAACATCTCTGATCGATTTGGGGGTTTTGGTATTGCTACACAGAACCAAAGACACTGTACCTAATGAGCCATTTAAGCAGCCTGAGGTTCAGGGTGTGGGAGGGGAAAGACAGTGTAGGAGTAGGACAAGATGACAAACTCAATCACCGGATCTGAAAAGCAAGTGAGCTTTATCAAAGCAAGAAAGTGTTTACCTCACTACAGCTTTGACTGCATCTGAAACCCAGCTTATCTCCTCCCTTCAGAAACACAGCAAGGTGTTGTTTCCTTCCTTAATTTAAATTAAGCCGTTTTTTTGTGATATAAAATAAAACCAAGAAAAGAAGAAGATTTTTTATTAAATCAAATGTCATCAATTCCGAGGGAGGATTAATTCCAAAGTAGGCAAACCCTGCAAAAAGCTGTAATTTTCACACAGTTTCTGGGTCTTCAAAACACACTTTCGTAATCTTTTTGTGCAAAAAAGGCAGACATTTCCTTGCTGATTTTTACCCACAACATCCAACTTTTTATATAGTTTTATTGCAAGAAACGTCTCCTAAAAATGCATTAAAAAATCAAGCGTTTACTTTCAGCGTTTACTTTCCGGATTTCATATGAAAATAGTTTGGTGTTTTATTTACAGAATTCGAAACATATCCTTGACACCCTACATAGCCCTTCTTAAAAGGCAGTCTGCCGCACGTTGTCGTCAACCTCGGTCACGGCGTTTAAAAACAAGGACAAGATCATTTGTACAGCAGTGCATGGCCTCCAAATCCAAAACCACAATAGCTTCTGTCACGGTTTATAAAGAAAATCACATTTCATACAGATATTTTAACACATGACCAGGAAATCCCAGCAGCCTCGACAGGGTAGTTTCACCTGTTGAGCGTTTGCCAGGCAAAACGAGCGTGTTGCGAGACTCGGTCGCGGCCCGTCACGTTTGAGTCTTCTTCAGGTACTCCTTTCTCCCTCCCCGGTCCCCACCGAAGTTCCTGACCCGGTGGATTTTCTCCAGCTGCTGCTCGATAGTCTTCATGATGTTCACTTCGTCCGGCAGGTGGACGTACCGGACATTCCGCCCCGTGACGAAGAAGTCGTCCAGCCGCCGCAGGCCGCCCCGTCGGTCCTTGTACACGACCTCCTCCAGGCGGACGTTCATGAACGCGTCCACGTTGACCACGCGGCCCCGGACCACGCTCTCGTCCCGGAGGTCCACCGTGGTGACGCAGCCGTGCAGCCCCTGCAGCAGGACCACCAGGCTGTTCTCGGCGATGGTGCGCTCCCTGATCGAATGGGACACCGCCATCGTGCTCTGTACGAACGAGTGACAGGTTTTTTTTTTAAAGGAGGGCAGAAGTATCCCCCCCCACCCCCGGAGAATCCTAAAGAAACGCAGTTTAAACTGTACCAATAAAGTGATGTGCGTGCTGCATATTAAATGTCTCTACTGGTAGTAAGCCAGGAGCAAACTAGTTCAGGAGATCACTTGAGTCAAAGGTTCTTTAAAACACCATGCTTACAATTTGAATGCACAGGAACAGTTTTTTTTTACCTTAGTAGCTTGTATGGCTTTATTCCATGCTGAAAAGAAAAGAGACGCAACGTTTCGGGCTGTGGAGTCTTCTTCTTTTCAGCGTGGAATAAACCTTTACCTGTTCCCTTTGCAGCCTGCGCATGCTACTCGAACGTCTTAAAATGTGAATATCGGGACGCGGCTTTTGGTTATCATAGACAGACAAAAAAACCCAAACACATGCACGTTTTCATTTTTAAAACGTGAAAATATGCTTTGCAAAATGCCTTGAAACATTCACGAGGTCGCGGAAATGATTGCTTGACCTAGTTCAGTAAGTTTACTTCAACAGTCTAATCATCTCGGTTATACAGTATTTGCAGTTCTATTTTCAAACTAGTTTCACTACTGCATTACGTCGTTCTCGAAGTCGCCCTGCGCCAATTAACCAAGCGAATCATAAAATCTGCCCACAAGGAAATTATACAATTAAAACCCAAACTTATTTACCTTGCATGTGTCTTTCTAGCACACTGATGATGTCAAAGAAGGCTCCTTCATTAGACGTCACGCCTCTGAAAAAATATTTATGCAGTCATACCCCCCTCTAGCGGCGGTTTACTGCAAATACTTTGGAGTTTGTGCTGAAAAGTGGATTGCTCGTCACCTGTTATACTGAAAACAGCATCTGTTTAGGATCCTAAGCCAATTTGTAATACGAAAACAGAACATTAAGTCATGAATGTTTATGTTTATTGAACATCTCGATATAACTTAACAAAAAATAACTCACTGTACTAATCACAGTAGAGTCATTGAAATAAACATAAATAGCAATTGCACAGGTAATAAATGATTGTTTAGTTAAGCAGATTTACTTACCTTCTTTAAAACAAGATTCAAACAGAACATAGGTATTCTCAGGGCCTCATCAAAAAACAGAAAAAAACATTTTTCCCTTTAAAAATCATTTGATCATCAGAAGGATACACTGATGTTTTCACTGTGTTATGAAACGGTCTAAAAATAAAAGTCTACAAAACACATTAAAATGTTTAGAAAGCCTTATATCTTCTATTTCTTATAGCTGAGCAACAGTCCAAGATTTGCGCATTGTAGTAGTCACATTCCACTTGTTTATTTTCTAGCTCTAAGATGTATACTTAACTTTAAAATCTTAAAAATCCCATTTTATAATATAGTCTTATTTGCTAAATATTATTCAATAAGTATTGAATATTAACACTGTTCCCAGTGTTAGATACGATTAAATCATTTTGGACCCATTCCTTTGGATGATAAAGACAAGTGCTTGTGTTCTTTGCTGAGTTCCCCTTTTCTACAACACATTCACTTAAATAACAAAAGCTTTAGACATGAAAACAAGAGAGTATACATACAGAGGCACCTTTACACAGACTTCTTAAATCTTGCCAGGAATCTTAGAAATACTATCTCATCAAGTAGAAAAAATAATTAAGTTCCTATGAAGCAATAGTATTTCTGTTCACAACAAAAAATAACAACATGAAGAGAAAGGACAATTTCTATTTTAACATAAACAGCTACATGCATGTAACATATATATATATAATGTTTCGGTCGTGGAGCCTTCTTCAGGTGTCAGGTATATATATATATTCCCTTTGCAAAATAAATCTCTTTACATCAGTGATATGAAATTTTCACAATGTAATATCATACCCACTGAATATACAATATAGCTATTCACTTGCTTCAATGTCTTCTTTCCAGCCACCACAGTGACTGAGACAAGTACTTTACAGGTTAAACAGCTGACCTGACATTAAAATAATAGAGTCCCACCAAAAAGAATTACCCATTACTGGCATGATCTACTGAGTAATGCCCTCACTAGAAATTTCATGATTGCTCATCCGTGTAAAAAAAAAGAAAGAAAAAAGACTGTTATGAAGAAGATACTTTAAAATCACAACAGACCCAACTAAAACAAGCAGGTCTCAGCAGCAGATGGAAAAGAAGGCAAAGTTTTATTAAACTGTACAGATGGATTCAGCCTGCAACAAAGTTGAGACGGCACAGTGTCTTACAAAGTTCTAAATACAGTATCTACATTTGTAATTACTTACATTCATATGTGTTCGCCAGTAGGAAAAGGCTTATAATGGAGTTAATTTTACGGAATAACAAGTTCCGTAGTTTCTATTTTCTATTGGTTTTATTACATATGTTGCTACTTATTGTTTTATAGCTCTTGAAAACTTTCCTGACCCTGACGTGAACCACAGCAGTTGGATATACAGCTGCACGACATGCTGATTCGTTTTCAATGTTCACCAAAACCAGTCAAAAGGGTTCATGGACTGGCTTTCCCGGGTCTCGTTAGTCAGAATACTCTGATCTACGCTACTGAGTGAAACCATTTTAAATAAACAAAAGACTTGACAATCTAAACTGAAACTGGCACGCTCCTACGTCTCTCACCGTGTGAATCGGAGTCTTCCCCAAAGTGAACTGATTTATCCAATCAGGGAACATCTCAACCCCTTCCTGGAAACCACACCGAGAGGGGCTGAATATTTGTTTCAAGTGGCTCATGGTTGCTGGGTTTCATCTTACAACTCCTGCACACTACTCTTTCTCCCCCCGTCACCTTTCCCACGAGAGTACAAAAAAAATTCTATTATGAAAAGGACGAACGAAACACCCTTATACTCGTAGTCTGAATGACTTCTTCACATTTTTGGTACCAGGCTAGCAGCAAGTCATGTCTGCACAGTGAAAATAAAAGTTTGGTGATTGCAAGATCCCTCTAGTCTTCCTGTCCCAGCAGCCTCCGGGAAATGTCACAGGCCATCCATCATGGCCAGCAGGTTGTCCCCCTTGCTGCCCGGGCTCTGGGCCGGTCCTGGCTCTTCCGTGAACTCCCCCATGATACGAGCCAGCTCTGCGTTTGCATGCTGGTCCTGACATTGAAAGACATCGTCACCGACAGGGAACCACAGCACAATCACAGAACAAGAAGGCAGATTAATCTTGATTAACTTTGTTTTTCTTTAGCTCAGAACATGAAACATCAAGAACATTTGTAGCCTTAATTCTATGGAATTACCATACTGCAGGAAGTCTCTCTCCAAAACCAATTCATAATTGATCTCCCTGTGGTCTTTTACTTCTAGATTACTTGTTTTTGGGTATGAAATGTAATACAAAAAAAACTGCTAATTTATGACTCCTTTGATTTTTTAGTTAACTACATTAATAGTACCCATTTTACAACAGAATTTGCTTAACCACTCTCCCCATGCTTGTCTTAGGGCAAAGCATTGGCCTTATGTTTGGATAAGAAAGTAGTATAGTTTTGACTCTAGTTCTAACTTCTGTTCAATTTGCATGTTGTTAAAAAAATTAAATAGCCAACTTGAAGTGTAAAAATGCTATTCTTACCTTTGTAGCTTGTATGTTTATAACCTGGTATGAAAGTTCTGGAGGCCTTGATATCAAAGCTTCCCTGTGAAAAAGTAAAATAGTAAAAACAGAGTGGTTTCATAAGACATATAAATTCAACACACATTTCTCACAATCTAACACACATCAGTTACAAAATATAAACAAAATACTAACTTGCACCTTCATCTATACAAAATGAGTTTCTATCTCAAGACATCTCAAAGTTTTGTTTTAGTTTTTAATGTAAATGTGAAGGAATGAATATATTTGGGTGATCGGGGATTATAAAAACAGGAAAATCAGAAAACATACTCTTCTTCCTCGTCTGTTGTGAACAAGTTGACCCGAAACCCTCCATCAGTATTTGCAGGCTTCTTGACTTCCAGACCTCCCATTAATCTGGCCAGCAGGTTCAGCTCTTCTTTTGCAAGAGGATTAGGGGCAGCATTTTCCTGGGGGATCAAACGTTTTAGTTTCAGTAACAGAGATATTCCCAACAACAGGCAGTTCACCTTTCATTTGGAGTTTCAAATTTTTAATTTGTACTCTATCTTACTGACTAAGGTTGCTGCTGGAAGTGGTGTCAGTGGGACCAGTAGGGGGCGCTCCTAATGCCCCAGTATAGTGTTGGGGACACTATATTGTAAAAAGGCCTCTTCCTTCGACTTAAATCCAAGGTCCTGACTCTCTGTGGCCACTAAAAATCCCAGGGTGTTTCTCGAAAAGAGTAGGGCTGTTACCCAGAACCCCAGCGTCCTGGCTAAATTTCCGATTGGCCTTTATCATCAGTACGTCTCTCCCCCAATCAGCACTAATTCTCTTGCTAGGCTTGGTGGAGCTTGTACAGCCTGTAGCATGTCAAAAGAATGTCAGTGATAGGTTTTTTAAAACAAAATAACTAATAGTGGAGTTTCGGAGACATAGGCCGCAGACTCACAGCCCACTCAGTATTGATGGAACCACCAGCTTTAGGTTTTTGGGAATTCACATTTCTAATGATCTAACCTGGACTGTGAACATGGACATTATCTTGAAGAAAGGCTCAGCAGCACTTGCCTCAAGCGATGGGGGATGCCACTACCTGTGTTGGTGAACTTCTACCGCTGCACCATCAAGAGCATCCTCATTAATGGGATCACCGTGTGGTACAGCAACACCTCTTCTCTCGAGAGAAAAGCACTGCAGAGAACAGTGAATGTGGCCCAGAAGATCACCGGCCGTGGTCTCACAGAGATTAAACAGCACTATGAGGACCGCTGCTATGGTAGAATTCTGGCCATCACAGAGGCCAGTCACCACCCCGGACATGAGCTCTTCACCCCACTGCCCTCAGTCAAGAGATATAAGAGCATATGGACACTTACCACCAGATTCCTCAACAGCCCACAAGCAGCGCGACTGGCGAACACATTTGGCCATGCCCTTCGGACCACACCTACACCATCTACCTCATTGTAATTTTATTTATTGCACATCTGCAGTCATTGTTTACATTTGAACTGTTTACTTGTCGACTTGTACAGTGTCTACTTTTTGTTTGTATATTGCATTGATGCACTTTTTTTTAACAATCGAGAGACTTTCTGTAAGTAAGAATTCCATTGTACCAGTACTGGCAATAAGGCTCAAGTTCTGCAGATCATCAGGGCAATTCTGTAGATACAGATAGCCACAATCTGAATTTCAAGCAATTGCCAATTCCAGATTACGAAAAGGATCGACACTTGACAAGTTTATTTCCATTGATTTGATAATGTCTGGGCATTTCCAAGAATAAATTTGCAAAAAATTAAGTTTGGAAAGAGCATGTCAGCCATTCCACAGTTAGAAGTACTTTCTGTTTCTGTTAGGACACCCTCTGAATTAACATTTGCTGGAAATACATTGGAAAAAGACATCAGGTCCGGACCTGTGTGCTCTGTCATCTCACCTTGGTGTGCGACACAGAGCTTTTGGATGTTCCTGACATGTGTGTTTCCACAGGGCGGCTTACACTATACCTGTAATACAAGATGCAGCATAAACATTTTCAAAACCACCAGCAAGTAAAATCATGTTACACTGCAGGCTGGAATGAAACATCAATCATCCAAAGGCAATCAGGCACTTCATTTCTTCTAGCTGTATCTGTAAATGAGCCTGGTGTGTCAAGGCTCATTTTTATTACATCCCTGTTTAATTATTACTGAGTTTTAATTTGAGTAGTAAATGTAGTAATGATACTTACATGTTGGTGCCCAGTTTAATTACTCTTTCACCATAAAGGTCAAAAGATCCTTCCCGCAGAGGACTTGTATAATTTCCTCCGCTAGGGAACTCTAAGCTTTTCACTTCTTCACCACTGCCATTGAATATTCTAAGAAAGAAATCACAAAAACAAACCTCGCACTTAGACTATTACTAATCTTAATGATAAAAAAGTGTGTTGTAAGTCAAAACAAACACTGTAATTAACCGCAAAGAATACTGTCTAATCCAATCAGGAAAACAAAGTCTACAAACACAAAGATAAATGATGTAGCTCAAAGATTTTCAAAAATACATACAGTATATAACAGAGGAATATCAATTAATCCTTAGCCATTAATCCTTCAGATATTCACATGGTTTAAGATCTTCATTTAGAACAGTAAGGAGTAACGTAACCTACTGCAGGGTATTGTCAATGAATACACTACCTGATGAGCCCTGGAAGTTCAGTTCCCCAAGGAACAGGCCCGGATGTAGGCAGCACAAACCGGCCATTGGAATTCTGTACTTTGTCTTTTAGAAAAATGGACACCTGCAGACATAAAAAAAATCAGCATATTTTTTTGTTTGTTTGCACTTACTAACAGAGCGCACATTTCTTTGGTGTGGATGTACTGCATATAATAATTTCATTGGTTACCAAGATCCCCATTAAGTCAGGTGTGAAAGCTGGGCTACTAACCTTCAGTTGAACAAAGACTTTGCATAAGCTTGATTTTTTATCAAGCACCAAATTGACCAATATCATGAGTTTAGATTTTTTTAAATAAATGATTAATGATTTTTAATCATTAACAACCCATATGTGTGCAAGCACAAACCGAGTGAGTAGATACATGCAACACACAGCTGGGCGTGCAGTGAATCATCCATCAGCACATGTTATGACTCACCCTGATGTGCATGTCCTGAAAGAATATGAGCAGGGTTTGTCTGACTAGTTGAAATTCACCAGCTGGAAGGCAGCTGTACATCTATTCAAGGAAAATAAGGTGAGGAGAAAAAACAACGCAGGCTCATTAATACACAGAAACACCACAGCTCATGAGAACCAACACTTAGACTCAAGTGTTAGGTAAGAAATGACCAATTCTTTTTTCGGTGATAATCCGATGCAATCCTAAATTTTTCCATCATCACTCTTACCTCTATGAGCTGTCGAAAAGTCTCATCCACCTGGTTGAGAATGCTTGGAGAATCTCTGATAAATTCCTTGATAGCATCCATGTGGTTGAAGGAGACTAAGAGTATATCTTTGGGCCTTGGGCAAAGCAGTACTTGGTACTTGAAAGCCATGGTCATTAGATCATAAAGCTGCAGACAAAAAGGAAAATATATTTATTTTTCTTTGTTTTGAATGGTGAAATAGTTCTGCAAGTATCCAACCAATCAACTGTGAAGTGAAGTGTTTTTAATTCAGAAAGGTAAGCACAATATACAAGCAACCACGGATACCATCTTTAATCCAGAAAACAATCTGGAAACAAGGTGTACTAATGAGTATATAGTACACACTCATTTCTGCAGGTCTCCAACCTTGTGATCAGTACACAATTATTCATATCCTTTTTTTGCAACATCTGGGCCATCAGAATGAACCTACACTCAGAGAGAGTGCTGTTCGTGGTTAAGTCACTGAGAAACCATCATAAGCATTCTTCGGTACAATTAAATATTATTCCTCAATACCTTGTCCATGCTAGCCTGGTTTAGTCTCATAATAGAGGCGTGAGCTAGCCGGTCAAACACAGTCCGCAGGGCTTTCTTTGAGTAGAGCTCCTGGGGTTTGAACAGTTCCTCCATAAACTTCTTATTGAACATGGTAGTGATGATGTCATTCATAACTAGAGAGGGAAAAGTGAAAAGAAAAACATAAATTACAAGCACAGGCATAAAAAAATCGTATCAAGTGTCGTGCTTGCAGATTACATTTGTTAAACTTAAGTGAAAAACAAAGACATTGTCATGCTACAAAGTAGGAAGAAGTATTTCACTGAAATGGTTGTCCTGAATTAAGAAAAAAAAAATTTGTTTCCACTGAGATTTTTAATTTTAAGCACTTTGTAATTTTCTGGAAATTATGAAAGTATTTCATAATTTGAGTCAATTATATTATTTCTTCTATATGTATCTTTCTCCATACTGTATATATGCTTGCAGATAAACTGTGATTTTGAATTCATCTGACCTTAACTCATGCATCTAAAATAATTTCAGACTTCAAATTAAGATAATAAATTACACTTAAGCAAAGGACATTCATACTTTCTATAATTCCTCCTCTGTGTTCAAGCACATCGGCATGCAAAATCTATATCAACACAGTGGAAATTGAAGAACATTCTTATTCCTTTTCTGCCTTTAAATCCTCAGCAGTGTATGGTCTGTCGTGCAATACTTGAGCTTTAAAGCCTTTCAAACTCTGTACATATGGGAGGGAAAACACTTTCTGTTTATCTGGAATCTGGAGTTATAAGATGAGATATGGGGATCATGTTCTATGAACAGTTTATTTAATATGTTTTTGTTAACTATTATATGAATATCCTTTCTTGTTTTCTGCCAAGAAAATCTACAGTCATTACAAACTTCACACTACAATTTCTACTTTTCCACCATCACTAAGGAATTCTCTTCCTAATTGTGTGTTTAATCACAACGAGCACTTGTTTTGGTGACAGTGTGTGAGGCCACTTGCTTAACAGTTGCTGCATTAGGTTCTGGGAGGCCTGTGCATGAAGAATTTCCCAAATCTACGCACCTAACATCTTAGATCATACAGACTGGATTACTTATAATGGTCAGATGAATAACATAATCTGCAAGCACAATGCTTAAAAAGTAAATATAGATGAAAGAAAACCCATTAATTAGCCGATTTTTCATGCTGCACCTTCATTGAATGTGAAGACTAAAATGAAAGAAGCAAATGTACTTGCAAAAATGTATTTAATAGGACAACGTAATAATTCACCAACAGCAGAATGAGAGAGCAGTTTTCCTCCAGTTTAGGAAGATCTGTACTGAGCCATGTTGCATGGAATTAAAAAGCAGTAGAAAGCTTGCAGAAAGCAGTGACAGGGCTGACAGGGAAATACTTATACTGCTTAGCAGAATGTGATGATAAAAACCACAGAAAATGGACAGGCTCAGCTGGGTGACAAGCAGAGGAAGTTATGAGTAGAGTGGGAAGATATATTTAGGTTTCACAACACCAAACTAACACCACCAAGGTGGTGTCACTTTAGACAGAAAAAAATGGAAATTTAAGGCTCATTCTTTGTGATAGAGCACTAAAAAAACATAAAACCTTCTAAAACAGTGCGTTACAGGTGTCACAACATATCCATGAATTTCATATTTATTCAAAATGTAACTATTTTTTCCACATACAGTTTTACATGATAGAGAACTACATTTACAGATCACTTAGGATACTGTCTTTTTCAAATGAAGTAAAAATATCAAGGTTTCTTTAATTAGTGGGTAATTTTCACTTTACAAAATTAGCAGTATCATTTTTTAGATTTCAGTTTTCATATAATTTGCGTTACTGTTATTGCTGTTATAGCAAATGTTCCAGAACAGCAAGAAATATCCTTATAATTTGCCACTAATTTACACAATCAGAATGTGAGTTATACAGTATACATCATTTACTGGCACCAACTAATATGGAAACATTAGGCCTAGGACTACAAAAACTAAACTTTGGGCCTCTTTAATTACCTGTTTAAAGGAAATAAAAAATAAAAAATGAATTTGTAGGTAAGTGTGTGCGTTTACCCAGGTAAGAAAATGGCAGACATTATACAGAGAGTATCTCAAATTACATCATATAAACTAAATTAGATCTAACAACGAGTAGCTTTTTTTAAAATTAAAAATCAGATTTTTCCTTGGTTCTGAAAAGCCTTTTAAAATGTGCTTTCTAAATTTCCAAATGAAACATTTAAAAATCTAAGTGCACTTTTGCATAATATTGTTAGATTTCAGTGTGCTTTTTCAAAACCTGACGCATACAATTATTTTTAAAGTGAATATTTTAATCAAAACTTTAATGCTCAAACTGAACACAAAGGGCAAAGCAAGTTAAATTTTCTTTTACATATTTCAGTTAATCAATGAAAACCACAACCAGAAATAAAAAAGTAAAAAATAGTGATTACATAAGTATTCACCCCCCTGAGTCAGTACTTCATGAAAACACCCGAGTGAAATGACAGCTGCCAGTCTTTTTGGATACATCTCTAACAATTTTGCCTACTGAGATAGTTTAATTTTCAGCCATCACCTTTCCATGTTTTGTTAAGTTGGTAGCTATTAACTGATAGACCACAATTTTCAGATCTTGCCACCAATGTATATCTGGGTCACTCAAGGACATTCATATTTTTGTTAAGACACTTCAGTCTAGCTATGGCCTTGTACCAGTTTAAGGTCTTTAGTGGATTAAAGCATGTTTACTCCAAGACTGACCCTTTCCCTTCTATCTAGAAAAACTTTCCATTCCCTGCTGGTGAGATCCAGCTCCAGAACATCATCCAGCCCCCACCCTGCCTGAGAGCAGAGAAGGTGTTGACTGAGATGGGGTGATGTACTGTATTGGGTTTGGGCCAGATGTAATGCTTGCATTGGGACCAACTTTTTCCACTTCTGACCACACAAAAATGTTTGTCATGTCTGCAGTATCACTTCCATACTTTGTTGTGGACTCCACAGGGGATGTGGGATGGCCTTCGCCGCGCAGGTGAGTGCTGTGGAGCGACTGCGACATTGTTCACAAATGGGCATGGCTCTCTCAAAGTCCACACTGGCTTCACAACCCACACCAGCTTCCTCTTTGCCCATCCACTCAATCTGGAGGAATAACCTGCACTGGAGAGCCTTTCTGGCACAACAGAGCTTACTTTTCGACTTCACCCTGCTCAAAAGGATGCTCTTCCTAACACCCAAACTTTTTCCTAGGTGGTTCTGAAAGCTCCTTGGTGAATTTCAAGCAAAGTTGAAGACTATCTGATGGTGAGGCCTTAGAGTTACACAGAAATTTATTCTGAGATCATGTGAATAACTATTATCATACACATATTCAGACTAATTGACTAACTGTCAAAATAATAGTTGCACTGGAACTAATTAGGGTTTTTCACAGCAAATGGGGTGAATACAAATGCAACTGACATTTTATAGTTCTTGGGTTTTATGTAACGTTTTCACAGATATTTAACTTCTTTCACTCATAAACATGTTCTGTTTGAACATTAATGTTTTTTTTTTCTTTAAAATATTCACTTTTTATAAATATGTAGACAGGGGGTGAATACCCTTGCAATGCACTGTATATTCAACCTTCACAATCATTTAAAAAAAAAAAACAATATTCAATTATTTCAGTTTGTTAAGGACAGATGTTATTTTCCTTGAATTACAAAAAAAATAAGTGTAACTTTAAGAGGGCTGTAATGCTTTTCCTGCATGTGCCCATACACTTGTTGCTTTGCAACAGTTCATTTTCAAGTGTCTATCCCCACTCCAAACATCTACTGCAGGGTATGCATACTTTTACAAGCAGTTACCTCTTTTCCTGTCTCCATCTGTCCAATCAGCTACATGGAGCGTTTACAAATAAAAGATGCGTTCAAAAATAAATGTTTAGAAACGGTGCTTTTTTTATTTTTATTGTGAGCTTTTCTCAAGCGTTTCGCTAAGCACAAAAAACGAAGAAAAAGCATTGTCACATATCATGGATGCTTACAGGAGATAAATGAACACGGCTGCGCAGTCAACCAAAAACTAGTTGAAAGTGACCCCCCCCATCTCACTCTCCTGAGAGCAGAAAAAAAGGGATCTAAGATACAAGAGTAAATTAAAGCACTGCGTAACAGAAATTGAATCAATAACAAAACCACTTCATTTTGAAACATGTTTCAAAACCACTTCAACAGGAGACACTAGGTTACCCAACAAACGTTGTCTGCACCCACTACACTAACGCATCAGATACACAGCGGTGCGAGGAAAGACAACGGCTGTCTCGGCATTTTTGACAAATCCCACATCCCAGTATAAACGCAAGGAATTTCTCTTGGGGAAATCAAGTTCTTGTGAGTATTCACAACAGGCAGATCACAGGCAGCAGTCCCGCTAATCGATGCTTGGCACGGGAAAACATTTGAAAAAAAAATAAGGTGAAATCTCTCAGCTTGCAATGAAGCCCTATTTAGGTAAACGTATTATTATTGATGAGCCTTTGTGATTTAGGCTACGTCAAATGCCCCCCCTTTTTTTTCCTATTCGTGGTTTCCAGCAAACAGTGAAGCTGACAGGCAGCCCCCGCAACCCGGAACAGACAGGGGGACGGGACCGCACCGGAGCGAAAACAGGTCGATATCGTCGCCTTTGCCTTTCCCCGATCGCGGACAAGCGACTGGATTTTACATTTTAATTCGCCTTTACCTTTCTTGGCTTTATCAGCGGGGATATTCTGGGCTCGCAGCCGCTGATCCAGGATATAGAGCATTTCCCCTCCGAGATTAATAAAAAGCAGCGGCAGGGTCCTCATCGACATTTTTTCTGCCAGTTCGTGTGTCGGGGTCCGCTTTAAATAAAGACGGGGGGTTTCAGCGAGGTGCCTGGCCGCTTGCCAACGTGTCGCCGAATATGATGGTTTGTGAACCCGGTTATTTTCACTCGGGTCCTTTGCCCTGCTCGCTGGCGGTGTCAGTGGGATGAAGCGTCCGTGGGTTTTCGCTCGGTTGCCAGGTCACGAAACACAGGAGCCAATCAGGAGCGGCTTTACTGAAGCGGCCACAGCCGCTCAGCCTGAGCGCACCGTCCTGTGTGCTGATGTGTGAGCAAGGAGACGCGCTCTCTTATTCAACTCTTATTGCTTTATTAGCGTGAATGTACGAACCTGTAGCTTGCACTGCTGTTAAAGACCACGCAGGCTTTGGGAGGTATCCGCAGCTCCTTAATTCATTGTTCGGCGTGTTATTGAAGATGAACACGATTAAGTTAGTTTTTGAACACATTAGCAATTTATCCCCCCCCTGCAATCTTGGAAAACAAGATAACAAGTGGGGAAAATAAAGTTACATCTTTGTGAAACGTGATTGTTTGTAGGGAACACTTTTTGGACAGTGGGCTTTTTTTTTTCCAACAGAACACTTAAATATGTGCGGGAAAAACCGAGGTGGATCACAAACTGGTGCGACAGAGAAGACAGGAACTTAATGAAAAACATAAAACACATCTTCAGGTTCGCTCTAGACTTCTCCATTCCGGATCCGAACTTCCCGAGCCATCCGACAACTCTCGCACAGGCCACAGCAGCACGTCATGAGCGCGTCATTGCAGATCGTTCCCTGCAGCAGATCGACAAACGATGAGACAATGACCAGGGCTGCACCATAAATACAGCATTAACTCGACTGCAGTTCAGCTGCTGTTTGAAGCTGTTAATCTCCCATCTCAATGAGAGATGGTGATGCACTTCACATGATGCGAACGTCTTATCAGACCGGCCAACTGAAGACGCCGACGTCACACTTTCGTGTCCCCCCCAGTTAACTCCTAACGAAAAAGTGACATGGGTTTCAATGCACACGTTGGTCTAAAAAACGACAACGCGAATTTATCATAGTGAGAATTTCTGTAAGGCCTTTCCCGCAGTCTCCGGTCAAGTTTGTGAGGGTCATATACCTGAATTCCATATGTCAGCCGCATGTGTGTCCTTAAGGCTGTAGTCCCGCCTGGGATACAACCCAGACACACATTCTCTCCATACAAATGAGCGGTGTAACAGCTCACTGCCATAGGACAACAAAACCCCACAAAACCTAAAAGGAAAACAAATAATGACATTAGTAAAATGCTATATGCACAATTATTTATTTATACACGAGATAGTGTATTCATCATTTCTTTAATGATCCATCGGAACAAACTGCCCAGCCAGCCTAAGCAAACTGTTAGCTGAAGTGAACCGCTTGGGACTATTCAAGAAACATCTGGAGGAGACAGTGGAACCAATGAGCTATTTAACAATTTTCTATCCGCAATATAGGAACTAAACAGCCAGCTCTTGTTTGTAACCTCCCATGTGTGATAGATGGGTAGTACTGCGTAACACGAATGAGGAGGCATTTGTCTTTTCCATTAAATAGAAGTAAAAATGAGAAGTAACAGAGTTACAAAGTTTAGAAGGAAAATTATAAGTTACAAAGTTGCAAAAGCCAGAGTTCATTTTTCTTAAAAACGTTGCCCTGCTCATTGGCTGTTCCGGGGCAGTGTGAAGAAGGGCGAACCATCCCTTCTTAATTTGATCTGTGCCCTGAATAAAAACCCATGCTGACAGCGTGTAGTAGAAGAAACACCCCCCTCATCCAGCCCTTTGAAGAATCTACACCTAAACATGGCTTAACATCGCTGTCTCTGAATGTTCTCCAAATACAGTTACTGGGCACAAAACCACCTTCTAATGGCCACTGTTTTACACGAGATGAAAAAAACAGAAGAACCAAGTGGCTTTGGTAGTCTTCTCTGGGTTATGGCATGCTAAAGGGCCATACTTACAGACCAGCATGTCATTGCAGCAGGAGCAGAGACCTGTACTCCATTCGCCTGTCTGAACGTTGGTGCCATAAGACGTGATTCCAGGCTGCTGAGTGACGGCAGGGGTTGACATTTAATCAGAAGATGGTGACCGCTACAAACGGCAGAGAAAGAGGCAGTGACATCCAGGTGTTAAAAAAGACAATGGAAAATAAATAACTAGAGAAAGTACCCACTGCAGATATCAGAAGACGGTATGTTTGCAGTAGAGCTTATAGGCGTCTTCAAAGATTTGTTACAGCTAAACATGGAGGTCCTCTTGCGCCATTTGATTAGCTAATTTCTAAACTATTTCTCTCCTTTAATCTGGCAAAGTCTCATTATGAGATTGTCTTTCCTGTCACTGGAGTCTTTCAAGAGTAACATAATGCTTGCTCTACAAAAAGGAAACTCTGAGGTGACAAAAACTGCCCGCAACATGAAGCAATTCTGAATGCTGTAACATCTCTTAGCCAAGCAGCACACTTCCTGCTTTGAGAACAACTGCCATTAGCATTGAACATACAAATTCTGGTCAATGCAAAATTGGAAAACCTCTGCTTTTATTCCCATTGTACTGCATCATTCCTCTTCCAGTTATTCTACCTGAATAGTGTAGAGAAATAAAACTTTTGAAGACACTAAGGTTTTGTTCATGGTGCGGCAACAATCCCACACCTCTGCTTTATCAAAAGGAAACCGGAAAAAAAAACACTTTTTGTTGAATAGTGATACCCCAGACTGTGCATCATTTTCAAATAATGAGAAAATATCTTATCTCAGAACTCCCCAACATCCACGAGCCTGTTAATCTATGTTTTAGTAATTTCTACATGTATAAATCCTATACAATATACCATTGAACCTTTTACTAATATCTCTCCCTTTCCGATTCAAAATTGTTCATAAGTTCAGATAAAGCACAGGGAAAACATCATCATATCTCTATAGAAGAGATTCAGTAACAGCAAAAAAGTTTAGAAGGTCTCAAGTTAATTGTATAAATAAATTTCAGATAAATAGTATATAAAACTCTAGAATGACAGGGGAAATGGCTGTCATCTAAAATAATCCACAATTTCATGCTAACAATCTGCAGTAAATTTCACATTACGTGTCAATTTTGAAATTAAAACCAATCAGAAAACGAGGTACTTAAAAAATATGCTTACTTACCAAATACCTCGGCGATACTGTCACTTTGTCAGAGTGGAGGTGGCTTTTAAACACAGGAAATGATGTAATAGCATTGACGCAGAGATTAGTATATAGGTGCTGTTCTTGCTCCAAAAGTTGTGGTATATACATTTAGCTGTTCCATGTCACAATGTAAGGAGATCCCATAACAAGAACTCAAGATAATAAAAACAGTAATTTAATTTAAAAGTCCCATGGTTCCACAGACTCACTGACCAGTTTAGTTTTCTTTCCAAAAGTAAGCTATTGGCTCCCTACCCAGTAAAAAAAGGAAATTATACTTTTTTGTGTCACTCAAGATTTAACGACAATATGGTGTCATACAGTATGTTGATACACTAAATATTTTAATCATCAAAAGAAACCTTTTATGCACATATGGTTTTGGAGAACAAAAATATGGATTTCGGATATTGAGTAAATGCTGGCGTAATTTTAAATATCTGATCATTCATGACTCCGAGACAGTCAAGTGGTTTTGACTGGTACGTAAGCACTTAATCCCCTCATTAGTAAGAAAGCTGATTGACCGAATATCAAGAAAAACAATGAAAGGAACCAGTATGCTTTGCTTATCAAGAGAACGACATCTTCAGTACGCTGGAAAATGCACTAATGCAGTCAGGCAGCGATAAAACCCAATCTGGGAGACCACAAGTCAAAACACCTCCCCTAGATGAACACCCAAGCACACTTGCTCCATTTTCATGACCGTTTTAAACCACAGTTTAACTGCGAGAAGGTGGCTCGTCAAAGACCTTTTTTAGAGATTAACTGAGGTTTTGTGGAGACCACCCAGATGAACATTAATTTGGCTCTGGCATTCAGAGTGATATGGCACTTGTTGCATATCTCAGAGCAACCGTAATGTCTGAGGAGAGGTGTCTAGCTACTACAGAACTCCACCCGCAGTTACCGATGGCAGAACCTCATTGCATGAAGCTACACTGATCAGATTCTTTGTCCTCACTTTCTTCCATTGCTGCAGGCTCATCCCGATGGATGATGTGACAACATCCCAGCAGGGCAATACAAATCCTTGAGCTCACAAGCTTTCTTGCGAGATGAGAAAGGGACAGCTAGGCCTCGGTGGCCCTGCTAGAGAAGACCAGAGCCCCAATGAACACTTGTGGGGTGAGCTCAGTCCTGCAGCCTAGTGTGAAATGTGTCATGTAACGGCAACATGCTGCTAACCTGTGACATTCACATTAGACCCCCATGGAAAATATAAATCGGCACACTGAATTGAGTCATTATTCTACTCAGTAAAATGACAGTTTCCTGATAAAGTATTAGAGAAAAGTTGATTTTGATGTTCAATGTGAGTATAAATAATTCCACATTATCTCTATTAAAACCGTAGCCAGAGATATCAATTAGCTGACTTCAGCAGATTGAAATAATCTATCTTCCAGTTGAAAAGCTTACAATATTTGAACACATTTAAGTGCTGTCTAAAAAAGCAGGAATTGCTTACCAAAACTTGCTAACAATCTTAAACATTTTTAAAGCTATAATCCAAGGGAAGTAACTCATCACTATTATGCAAGTTTGTATTCCAGCATCTACATCAATGTACATAGTGTTGTGTATGTTCCTTAAATAGGTCATTTAAAAGAATAAGTGACATGATTCAGAAAGGAAGATGACTGCCTTGTATAATATGCCTATGCCTTTATCACTTTTATCCCCACCTGTGTCTGACTGTTAAAGAGTAAACGGTGCTCGGTTTTGTGTCAGATATTTAAAGGTTAAATCGGACTTTTTGTGTAACAAGTACTCTTGTTGTGCTCTTTGAAACTGCACCAAATCAAATCAGAAAACCTACATTACTAGATATGACACAAAACAATAATGGGGTCACAGGAAGAGAAACATTCTACACCAAAAGGCATGAATAGCACAAAAGAATGTTAAAAAACAGACTCAGAAATTTATACTGGAAATAATTATTCATATCAATGAGCAAATTACAGAAAAACATCTTTTTTTTTTTGCTTTTAGTCAGTAGGTGGGATAAGTATGGTTTATTAATATAGTATCCAAGTCCAGCCTCAGGTCTCTATTCACTAAACGGGCGATCCATCCACCCCCTTCTGTTTGTCTGCTGACTCTTCCTTCAGTGTCGCTGCCTCCCTCTGTCTCTTCTTCTCTGCGGCTTTCTGCTTCTGAACTTCATTGAAAACCTAGGAGAGACAGGGGCATATCATTACCTCCAGAGGAGACGAGAGGCTGGAGTCACTCAGTGATTACATCTCACTCTTCCAAACTTGCCGTTTAAAAACATGGAGAAATTACACTAAAAAAAACATGATGAATCCTTTTTTTTCATACTATTATGCTGAGTTATTAAAAGCCAGAAAACAAGGATGTCCTCCCATTAAACCACCAACACCACATCCTGCTCTTTGAAGTTTTTACTCCAGAAGCATTCTGGTCTTAAGTCTAAGCAGCTTTGTGAAAGGTACAATGAGGTTTTAAAAGAAAACAATCTTGTATTGTATGTATACAGAACTTAAAAGTCAGTCATTCACCTGAAAGAAACAGAATTTTAAATTTACTTTTTCTTTTTTATGCCAACCTGCTCTGGAATTGTCAGATCTTTAATCAGCTACTCTCACCTCTCTTGACCAGGAGACCTACGGTCCAGGTACAAGCATCCTCTGAAATGACCTTGGTGGGTCATCTGAATTATATGCCTGGCAAGAGCTAGCTGCTCAGGGTACAGGATAGCTAGCTTGTGGGAGAGGGGACAGGTACTGCTCTCATTAATAACAGTTCAGGTGCAATGAACACCAGAGTGTTAAGTCCTTAACCAATCCAACTGTTGACTGAAATGGAACAGTTCAACACTGTTCTCCAGTTCTTTTGGTGCTGAGAATATTAAGATGTTTATCAAACCACTAGACGGCAGCCCACCGGCAGGACTGGAGTTGTGAACACCTTACTGAAAGAAAAGGAAAAATTTCAGAGGAGTTTATGTTTCACAAAGAACACCTAGCAACACATCCCTGAGTTTCAGACCTTAATGCAGAATGCCTTCTTGGCAGCCCAGCGCCGGGTGACTCTTCTGTAGTACTCTGGGGGGAAGGTGTAGGTGATTCCTAGCTGCTGACAGACATTCTCGAACAGGTCATAGCGAGTGCGCCTCAAGTACTTCAGGAGCTTCTTCCTCCTGTCAATGGCCATGAGCATCCGTCTCTTGTTCGCTTTGTCCTGCCCAGACATTGCAATTGGACCATCAGGAAGAAAAAGAAGGCAAAATGTAATGCCAATCCAAACCAAGAAAATGTTTTCAGACTTTGCTTTAAGATGCTGACACGTTTTAATAAAACATCAAAACTGTTATCGCTGACATTTCCAAAGGAAGGAGTGATGATTGACTGCAACCTAATAAGTTGAATTTTGGTTCCAACAGGACTTTTAACTCTGCATGCAGAACATGATGAAAACTTTCTGCGGTGGAATATCTGCTGTACAGCTTGTGCTTTCACTCATACATTGCATTACATTAGTCATTACAGTGACTAGTGATCAAGAAGGGCCGCTCCGCTTCACAATTCTTGTGAACTCCCGCTCTCACTCAGGGGTCTGTGACAACATGGCGACTCAAAGGTCTTTCAAAAAGTTCACGATTTTATGCTTAATTTGACATTTGTACAATTTTTCTATTCCTTCAATTAATTAGTTTTGTTACTGGGATTTAATAGCTGATCTGAGAAATTGGAGCTGCAGTTCCCCAAAAACTGTGAAGTGGAAGGTTTAAAAACTGTCAAGTGGAAGGTTTAAGAACTTCCTTTATAAAGTATTAAGATGGTCATAAAACATTTGCAGCATCTGCAACACTAGCAACACAAGCGGTGAGAAGGTGCTAAAATGCTCCCTCTCAGCTGAAATACAGACTGAAAGTGGCAAAAAATGATACTGTGAAAATAACTGAGATGTTCTAAGGCTTCATTCACTATACCTTTGTGTGATACTGCAAGTGTTCCTGGTAATTACGGATCTTTGCTGTCAAGACGGCCACTGAGGTGGGAAAAATAAAACAAAATGTAAAATGCCTGGGAAAATTAGAGCAAATACAAGCAACTTCTAAAAAACCCCAATGTGCTTCTTGTTCCTAATGACAACAGTTGCACCAGGAGGATTTACTGGACTGAATGAAAACCATTTTCCACTTAAAAAGAAAATAAACTGCTGTAGACATCTTAAACACAATCAAGTGGTACAAGATAATTACAGTGTGTCAATGTCTTCTACTGTTACAACGTGGACTGTTATTAATACAACAGTTTAGACAACAAGAAACCAAGCACGTCATTTGATCGTCAAAAACAGTAAACGCTGAATGATTAAAACGGCAAGAATGACATTTTTCAGGATTAAAAAGTAGCAGCTTATGGGCAGTCTATACAAAGTGTTGTATCTGAAAATCCATCACATTTAGCATGCAGATCTGTCTGACTATCAGGCATTCTTTGTCATTGTTGTAATAAGAGGTGGATTGCTTGTTATAAAACAGACCAGTACCAGTCCAACATGACTCTCATTCCTGCCAATATAGCCAGTTTCCCATTGGCTAAACATACCACAAGAGAAACTTACCCTGCACTTCTGTGGATCCTCGGTCTGACTCATTTCTTTTTACCTTAGCCATCAGCTGCTCCTTTTTAATCCTGAGTTTTTCTTTCTGTCAACGAAACACAAAAAATGTAATTCTTGCAGTTTAAATCATTCAGCTTTTACTGTTTCAGGAAATCTGCAATGTATACTTCCTGACTGAAACAGTTTTCCTTTTGCGGTAGCACTGAACTGAGCTACTTACAGCACAATCAAAAGAAACAAAGACTGCCTGAGACAGGTCGCAGATAGGTCTTGTTACAGGCCGCACAACTACAGTACATAAAGAGAAAAAATAAACTGTACTTACATGGCTTGCAAGTTCTAATGTAAGGAGCTTCTTAACTGTGTCATCAGCCCTGTTGGTAAATACATTTTAGGTTAAAAATAGGAAAAAACATTTTACTTCATTACTTTCTTTTCAGGTATTCAGAACTGATGTGCAGTGAAGCACAGTGATATGATATTGAAGTGATATCTCTATTTAAAGCAATAAATAAAATAGATAAATTATATAAAACATACAAGGGTGGGAAGTATGTGCCATTTATTTTAACAGAACTATTTTAACTATACTGTACTATTCAGGCCTATTATTTATTATTTAGATAGAGACTATTTCTAGCCTACACTAAAACCAACCCACTGCCTGAGAAACTCCTTGATGACTCCTGAAAAATTAAGTTTCACAAATATACGAGTTGATTTCACGGAATAAAAGTGGAGTATAAATTAATATGCATATTCCCATTAATCTAAACGGTAGACTAGGTGTTAGTTTTGATTTCAAGCTGTTAGTAAAATAAAAATAAATTTACATAATTTTGTCATACATTGACTTGTAGTCTGTAGTTGAGTTAGTAAAGCTGCACATAAGTCCATTCATGAATCAGACATAATGGTCAGCGGTTTAATTTATATACTGACTGATTCAATACCTACTGCAATAGAAATCTAAGACATACTTTTCAGCCATCTGAACAGCAGCATAGTCTATTTTCAACATTGTCGCTGGCAGGTCATCCAGCTGACTAGGGACCTCTGGGAAAATAAGCAAAACACAAATATATTCTGTAATTTATTTGGGACACAAAGGCACCAGATTTATCTGAAAACATTAAGACGTGCCTAAAACATTTCACAATGTTCTTTTACTTCACATTCCATTTCTAAAAAGAGAAGAGGTTTTTACAGTGTGATAGCACACAAGACATTTCAGCTTTCAAAAACAAGTACTGTACTGATCTGGTCATGTAATCTGTAAAATGGCTATCAAAATAAAGTCTAAAAGGTGTGAAATAAAACATGATCTACTTCTGTTTCTATTTAATGATCAAGAACTCTTGCAATCAAAATGGAAATAATCCTACTGCAACTTAAATCTACTCATTCACAAGCAATGAGTCAGATGGAAGAATATGGTAGAATCAGTGGAAGATAAAATATTCTTGCGCTCTCAGCATTTCAGTCCTATCCTTATATGAATGACCACTGTAGTCTGTATATATTGAGAGGCATTAAAAACACAACAAATGATTCTGATTTTAACAATTCCCCAGATGTATACATTCAAAAACTAATCAGTAAAATTATTTCACTGACTTATCTCTGTGGATACAAAAGGATGTGAAAACATGTACCAATTATAGCCAAGACAAAATACAGGAGGAAAGGAAGAGACCATTGGGATGCTGAAGGCAGGAACAGTAATGGCCAAGGTCTTCAAAAACAGGTCTGCACAAACAGCAACCAGGGTACCTGTGACACCACCCTGCGCAAGATTAGTACTGGGGCACCTCCGTGTCTGGCACTGTCCTGTACCCAGCACCATTGCAGAGACTGATGGCCACATCAGCTCCTATACAATAATATGGAGGCCCCAGGATGAAGGATGAAGGCTTGGTACTCAATAACTAACATGGGGCAACCATGCAATGTCACAGAGACAAATGCAACAATGGTGCAATTTTGCATTCAACGAGAAGTATCAGTTCACTGTTCTGATGGCAAGCAGAGAGTGCAACGCAGACACAAGGACGGGCACCATCCACGTTGTGTTGTGATGTTCCAGCAGACCATGTGAAGGTGTGACAGAAAGGCTGCAACAGGGGACTGCTGAAGATCACACCTATTATTGATGGCTCCTGCACCACAGAGAAAATGTTCTTGTGCCCTGCTTTGTGCAAAATTATGCCATTGTATGCATGACAGTGCAGGCCACATGCATTTGCCAGAACGTCCTGTGTGTGTGTGTGTGTGTGTGTGTGTGAGAGAGAGAGAGAGACGGACTGGCCATTCAGCTGGCCTATTCGCCCAGCATGATCACCTCTTGGACATGCTGGGTCAGAATGTGTGATGTCAGCTTCCACAACCACACACACCTACTGAGCAGAATATGATTTCTGACCGAGAAATGCAAAACACTTATAATGTTGTAATTCTAAGAGTATTTCGCCTCCTTTGGTTTGATAACGGGGTTAAGCCTCAATTATGTGCAGTTCCATTTTTCTCCCCAAGTCATAAATCTATCTTTATGTTGCTCTTGTTTCATCAGTTCTGACCTTAAACACTTTTGTTGCCTTTCAATGGCTTTCCCTTGAAAAATTGAGAAACCATGTGTCACACCATGTGTTAGTGCAATAAAGATTGCACGTTAAGGAGGAACCATCAGCATTTCAATTACATACCTTGCCTTTTTCGGACAGCACGAACATAGTTTCGTACAGCCTGGACAACACTGCTGCTATCTGGTGAGTACAAAACAACAAAGAAAAAAGCTAAAACAGACTGAAACCCACCGACTAACAAGATACATCTTCTGGAATGCAATAGACTTATCACATTGTAAAATACTGAAATAGTCTTTGCCTTTAGAGGGTGCACCTCATTTTTATTTCAAGATGAGAGATTAGGCCTTGGGAGATACCCTAATGAGAAATGCGAATACTTTCTCCAATGAAGATCAAATTGTTAATATGTTATACACCATAGTGCTGTCACACATTTTTCTTTTAGGGTGTTGAAAAAAACAACATGTGATCTGTCAAACTGAGACATTACTAGCACCCAGCACTTATTTGTGAACTCTTCCGAGCAGAGTGGTTTTATGCAGCACTTCGAGGCACATCAGTGATCTGTAAGTTTGATGTAGTGGGCCAGTGCATGAGTGTGCATTAGGGAGGAAACTCGTTATGGTTTGCCACATCCTGATCGTCCTAAGCAGGATGTTTTTTTTTTTTAATTTTAGCTTATAAAGGACAAGAAGAACAAAATAACTACACTGGTGTTTGCATGTTAACAAATTCCATTACACACAACACCAAAGTTTGGTCGCTACTTTTTTTCACAGCACCTAACTTTCCAACGGATACATTGCCTCTGAAATAAATAAAAAAAGAAGTCTGTGAATATAACTGGTGCGGCTTTTCAGTTGCAGGTGAACTGGGTCCACAGTATATATAAAAAGGACAGTGCAGACACAAGGAATTACTGTTAATAACCTTCAGACCAGCTCACCCCCCAATTAAAAACCTTGCCACACTCTTTTACTCGTGAGAGCTGTGGGCAAAGACTATGAATACCTGCTGAGTCTGACGGACCGTCTGCTCACTCGTTGACCAACACCAGCGTAGAAAATAAAAGCGCGCCAGTACCAATACGGACATCCCCTGGCTTGGTTACTCTACCCTCCTAACCTAAGTTTAGAACTGATGGCGGTTTAG